TTCCTCTCTCCACCCAGCCTTATCACTCCTGTAAAAACATAAACAAGAGATCACTATGGTACGTGCAAGCTGCGTAATGTTTGGCCTGTGGATACAGGCGTGACGAAGTTTCACAATAAGAACCCAGAAGTGGCTTGTTGACACTTTCGAAATGTCCTAACGTGGGAATGTATCTTCAATGACGTCATACACAGACGTCTTAATTCTCCTGTGTTGATGGATTGGTTCCCAGCTGGATCTGATCATTGAGAGTCAGTTGAGTAATAAGAGATCCAACCTAACCAATTGCTTGGTCTGTTGATGGATTTATAGCTTGAAGGTATTACTAAGGTTATGGGAACTCGATATTTAGACCAAGGAGCTCTCTGAACACACGTTTGTGAGGACTGCCCCTGGTCCTTCCTTTCCTTTCCTTGTTTGCTTCCACACCCTTCCACCAGAATGCTCTGTCTCATCAAGAAACAATAGAGCCAGCCAGCCGCCCACCAAGTAGAACCTTGAAAACCAAGAGTCAAACATAAACCTCTGCCCTTTGAAGTTGGTTGCTGGGTCTTTGTCACAGTGATAACTGGCTAACGCTGGGAATTTAGAGGATCTTTGCTAAGGACTTGTGATTTGTATCCCAGATGAAAGCAAAGATAAAAGCGTGTGTACACAGTGCGTTCAGCCAAGCCAGTGTGGCCTCATCTGGACAGGGAGGTGAGCAGCAGGAAGGCTCTGTGCTGTTCCTGGAGAGTACGGAGGCCAAAGGAAACAACTCGGGACACTGCACTGAAGCTGGCTGTTCTGGGTACAGGGTGGGTTCTCTGTGCCATCACACTCTGTGGGAGCTGCTGCCAGCCCCACACTAGTGCCATCTCCACCCTGGGTTAGTGACTTTCCTATTGCTGTGGTAAAATACACTGTTAGCTGTCGACTTGGCATAATCTGGGATCGCCTGGGAGATGTGCTTTGGGGGCACGCCTTTGAGCCGTTGATGTGGGAAGACTGAAAATGGACAGAATTATTCCCGGGCTTGGGGGCCTGCACTGATTAAAAGGAGAAATCGAGATGGCCGCATGCATTCGAGCTTTCTGCTTTCCAACGTGGATGCAATGTGTGACTGAATAGCTTCCTCAGGCTCCCTCTGCCCCAACTTCCCTGCCATGATAACTGTAGTCTAGAACTGGGAGCTACGTAAAGCCTTTCTCATGTCGCATCTTCAGTCGGGAAGCAGAGAGTGACAAACGCTTATGCCCTGCTGCCTTCCTCCTTTTGGTGCAATCCAGGAAACAGTGCTGCCCACTTGAGAGTAGTCGCCTCCCTTCAATGACCCTAATCACCATACTCAGCTAATCTAACCTAAAAGTTCCTTCACCGGTGTGCCTAGAGGCTTGTCTCCTAAGTGATGCCTATGCTGTCAGTTTGATCACAATACGATCACACTCCCCCATTGCTTCCCTGCACTCAGATACCTTACACTCATTGTCTCTTCAGAGTTTATAGATAGCGACCTCTCCAGGTTAGTAAACTGCCCATGGTCTAGCTACAAAGCTAAAATATTTGGGCTCAGTTCACTTGAAAACCACCTGGGGAGTGGTTGGAAAAGTGGGGAAATCTTGAGGGCCCCGTCTCTGTTGGGGAGATGCTGCATAAAGGTGGCTTTGATACTTTATTTTTAAACAATCTTTAAATAAGACTTTGTATGTACTAGATAATATTCCAAACAGTTATACTTTATTTCCCTTTTATTCTCTCTCTCTCTCTCTCTCTCTCTCTCTCTCTCTCTCTCTCTCTCTCTGTGTGTGTGTGTGTGTGTGTGTGTGTGTGTGTGTGTGCCTGCAAAGGCTAAAAAAGAACATCTGATCCCCTGGAACTGAAGACACAGGCAGCTGTGAGTCTCCTGGTGTGGGTGCTGGGAACTGAACTTGGATCCTCTTGCAAGAGTCTTAGAGTCTCTTGAGTGGTCTCTCCCGCTCCTGTTATTTAATCTTCCAAACAGCCCAGGCAAATAGTGGCTGTCCTTATCCCCAAATTATAGATGAGGAAGCCATAGATTGGGAAGTTGAGGAGCTTGTACAAGGTCCCACAGCCTCTCAGAACAAACATCTCCCACTTACTGAGTGCCGTCATGTTAAACCTACGTCTTCTGAAGTGCTCACATTTAGAGATAAACTGCAGAGTCTTTCAGTGAGGTAAGGAATCCACTCCATTTTTTTAAAATGCAAGTGTAGAGTTGTTTAATTTGCCCTCAGCTTCTGAAGGCTAATTTTTGTGTTGAACACAACCACTTGGGCCAGTTTTTTGGTTTTTTTTTTTTTTTTTTTTTTTTTCCTGTAAGGATAGAAGTGAGTAGTCAGGGAAGCAGGAATCCAAAGGCCCACACTTTGATGGCTGGAGGAAGAAAGGTGCCACAGCCTGAGTATAGTTTGTTCCTTCTCAAACAGGAGATTTGGGACCAGGACCAGGGTCTGTGAGAAGTGACTATGGGACTGTCCTCATGAACAGACAAATCCACTCATGAGATTTTCAGACTAATATGTTGCTTTCAGAGTGAGTCTGCTATAAAAGCAGTTAGGGAGGGCCCATGAGACGGGTGCTTTCCATGCCACCAAGTCTGTCCACTTGAGTTCTATGTCTGGGTCCTGCATGGCGGAGGGAGAAAACTGACTCCTGCAAGTTATCCTCTGACCGTCACGTAAGTGAGCAAAATCACAATAAAGACATAACTCAGTGTGGGAGCACTTCACTTAGCGTGCGTTAGATCCTGGGTTTGATCCTCAACACGGAGAGAGAAGCCCAGGTCCCCTCAGTCGTCCCTGGATCTCATCTGAGGGTGTCTTGTGGTCGCACCACTTCATGACTCTGCCAGCAAGAAAGCCATCACCAGATACAGCCCCGCCACTGCGGACAAGAACTACAAGCCAAAATAAACTTTTTTAATTTATTGCATTGGTTTGGATAGTTTGTGTCCCTCCAAGTTTCTTGCGCTGGATGCTTGGTCTTCAGTGTGTGGTTGGAAGGAGTTGAATCGAGAGATCATTACGGGCAGTGCCCATGAAAGGGATTAATGTAGGTCTCCTGGACACCATTTCTTTCCAGGGTTGTTATAAAAGAGCCGTGCCCTGGTCTCTTCCCACACTCTGGCTTCTTGGTGGTGTGATCTCTCTCTGTCCCATAGTCCCCTAAGAAGCCTTTCTCCACTAGCCCTTTGTCAGAGCTGGCGCTTTGCTGTTTGGAGTTTCAGCCTCCAAAGTTGTGACCTAAGTAAATCTCATTACTTCATAAAGTGCCCAGCCTGGGGCATTTTGTTCTGACAATGGAAAATGGACTTACTGAGCCTGTGGTATTGTGTCCTTAGGAACAGAAAATTGACTAAGAGACATTGCTTTCAGATCCCTGAGCTGTCTCAAAGTGGGAGGTTTTTAGGGTCTCTACCTGGTTGTCAAGATGAGTTTCAGGGGGGCTGGAGCGATGGCATAGTGGTTAAGAGCACTGGCTACTCTTCCAGAGGCCCTGAGTTTGATTCCTAGCACCTACATGGTGGCTCACATCTGGCACCAGGTACACCTGTAGGGCACAGACATACATGCAGGTAAAATACCATTACACATAAAAGTAAAATCTGTTAAAAAGAGAGATGGGAATAAAAAAAAAGAAAAAAAAAAGAGAGATGGGTTTCAGGGACAGGTGATGAAACTGAGATAACTGGACAACAGCATCCCAAAAACCTAAGCTACAGGCTCACCCATGTTATTTACCATAATTTTGTAAGATACTTTCTTGAGCAAAGTTGACAATTATTTGTCACCTGAACAATCATCAAAGGCGGGGAGGGGCTGAGGAAAACTGGTAGATGGTTCTCTTTAAAAAGGTTCTCTTTATTGCCGGGCAGTGGTGGCACATGCCTTTAATCCCAGCACTCGGGAGGCAGAGGCAGCCGGATCTCAGAGTTCTAGGCCAGCCTGGTCTACAAGAGCTAGTTCCAGGACAGGTTCCAAAGCTACAGAGAAACCCTGTCTCGAATAACAACAAAAACAAACAAACAAACAAACAAACAAAAAGGCACACAATATTGGATAACCAGACAATCTCTCAAAGGAGGTTCTGAACCCCTTTCCTCTTGCAAAAGGCGCAGATCCCTGTCAGACTCTCTCCCTTCACTGGGTGAAGGGAAGTCTGGCGGCGTGTCCTCTGGATTGGAAAGGCGTGTCCTTGGAGTTTTTTGTCAGTACTAGACAGACCCTTCGTGTCTTCAGCGCGGCTGCGACTCCCCCGGGCTGGGGAGTTCAAGATCCGCCCCTTAGAGGGCGGCTTCGGGTCAGGGCGGGGCAGGCTCCAGCCAGCCCTAGCGCCGGCGCCGAGTCCGCAGCCGCCGGTAACTAACCAGCCGTGGCCTCACCCGCTCGGCAACTCTCTTCAGCTTCAGCGACGGTGGACTCTCCCCGGTGCCTGGCGCCGCGTCCCGGAGCGCGCACTCCTTTTCTCGGCGGAGGGAGCAGGCCTGGGGCGCGTCGTCCTACAAGACGCGCTGACGTCGCCCTGGGCCGGTAGTCGGCGCGGAGCGGCCGGCGCGCGCGCGTGCGTTAGGCGCTCCCGCGAAGCAGGCAGGCGCTGCCACCGCGGCTGTGCGGGTTCCAGGGCGGCGGCCGCCACACAGCAGCGCCGCGGACGCACCGAGCCGAGGCGGTCGCACCTGCGGGGATGGCGCGGCCCCTGCCCTGCACCTCTGCCAGGCGCGCGTGTAGCTCCGGGGACGCCCAGTGACGGCGGCGGTGCCCTCTGCCCGGCAGCGCCCAGGCCGCTTGGCCAGAGCCCCGCGGCCGACGGCGGCCCGGGCCATGAGGAGCGGTCGGGCCCAGGTCTCGCTGACCCCAGCTCCGCGCGGCGGCCTGCCCCGTTTCCGCTCGGGTCTCTCGGCATGAGCGTCAGTCCGGGCCCGGGGCCGTGGCTGCCCCCGTCCCGCCGCCCCTGGGCGCGCTCCGGGCCCTCGGGCCCGCGGTGCTGATCCCGGCTCTCCGCCACGCTGCCCACCCAAGCGCTCTATGTCCCGGGGGCGCGGCCATGGAGGTGGTGGGCGACTTCGAGTACAGCAAGCGGGACCTCGTGGGACACGGGGCCTTCGCTGTGGTCTTCCGGGGGCGGCACCGCCAGGTGAGCGCAGCTCGCCCGCTGTCTGGGGAAGGCCGGGGAGCCGACGCCCCGGTCCCGGCCGCTGGGCTGGGCGCCCCAAGCCGGCCTGCCTTTGTGCTTGCTGTCACTGTCTCAGGGTTTGTTTTGGAGGCCGGAGCCGCTAGGCTGAGCTCCACCTACCGACCGGCGGCGAGCCACTGCTGTGCTTCTCTGTCCGTGTGCTGGGTAACCGGAGTACGCCCAGGAAGAGAAAGGCCAGTGGTCCCGAGGCGACTAAGATCCCAGTGCTTGCATGGTGCAATGTGCTTGTCCGGGTTCATGCTTGGTGGACCTTTGTCCCCTCTCCCCCGCCACGGGCTTTCCGTAGCTTGTCACCTTTAAGGTGGATAATTGCACGCCCAGTGGAAAACGGGCAAGTTTCCCGTTAGCCTGCGACTTTCTCGGACTAGGATGGTATCGCTTTCCTCCGTGTCCGGGGTGCCCTGTACAGTCTCTCCCCTTCTTGAGTTAGACGAACTCCAAGTGGGAAAGATAGTTTGACTCTAATCTAATAATACAACGTGGATGCAAGCTCAAGCCTCAAACATTTTTTTTTTCTAGCCGCTGTTTCGCAAGTAGGGTCACACGAGGTTTTAGAATCTAAAGAATTTGAGAATGGCACATAGGGAGTGGAAATAATTTTTTTGCAAAAGGCCTTGGTTGTTTTGATTGTTGTCAAAGGGCCTGTTAAAACGTACTGTCTGTTTCTCATTCATTATGAAATAACTTAAAATTCAAGAAAAACAGAACAAACAAAAAATGTAATCCAACCAAGCTACTTTTCGTTGAACCCTATCACTTCCCAAGTTTATATACACATTTCTCCATAATGCCATATAGTTGTAAACTTTTTTCAACTAACGCTATATTGTTTTTACTACTTTTACTATGTTGTAGGACATTGCCTTGGTATTGTGTCATTTATCAAACCATTTTTTGTTTGAGACTTGTGATCTTTATCATGTTTCCCTAGTACTGTATGTACATTGATTTGCTAAAAATATATTTACACTTAACACATTTTTATTGTTTTTGAATCATTTCTATATTATAATTTTCAGGCATAACACTGTTTTTCCTTTTCAGAAAACTGATTGGGAGGTAGCTATTAAAAGTATTAATAAAAAGAACTTGTCAAAATCACAAATTCTGCTTGGAAAGGAAATAAAAATCTTAAAGGTATGCTATTTTATAGTACAGTTAAAAGTTAGCCCGAGTTAAATGAACATGAACATTTAAAGTTGGGTAAAAGTTTGGTAATTTTTAGTTGCTGCTCATTTTTGCATGCTCAGTTTTGTTTTTGAAATATTGAATAGTCTGAAGCTATTTTTCAAATATGTGTTTATTTATTTTGAGGCAGGGTCTTACTACATAGGCTTGGTTGACTTGGAACTAACTGGGTAGTCCAGGCTGGTCCCAAACTCACAGTGATATGCCAACTTCTGCCTCCTGGTGACTAGGAAAAGTTTGTTTTTGTTTACGTGTGCGAACATACACGTGAATTCAGTGGCCATTGGAGGCTTTTGGAATCCAGGGAACTGGATGTGAGCGCTAGGAACTGATCTTGAGTCTTCTGCAAGAGCATCAAGTGCACTCAGCCATTGGGTCTTTTTGCAGCCCCCTTTGAAGCTATTTTTAAGAATAGATATTTGTAACTCTTGGCCAAACAGAGGGATTCTGTAAAGAATGATTTTAACTTCTTATGATTTCTTCTAGTTATTGTTTGAATGCCACACAGATACAATTGGTATCTCGTTGTCTTCTGTTGTACCCTTAAGTGTTAGGGAGAAACAGGAGAACTTGGTGTGTCACTGCCCCTTATAAATAGAAGAAAGTTATATTTAATATTCATTATCATTTCAGGTTTGTTAATTTTATTGCCTTATGTGTATAAGTATTTTTACCTGCATGTAGGTATGTAAATGCACTGTGTAAGTGTCTGGTGCCCAAGAAGGCCAGAAGAGGTTTGTTGAGTCTCCTGAAGTGGAGTTATAGGAAGTTGTGAGCTACCATGTTTGGTCTGGAAATTGAACTCAGGTCCTCTGTAAGAGAAGCCAGTGCCCTTAAGCACTGAGCCAGCTCCAGAAGGAAGTTAATTTTTAGATTTGCTCACAGCCGGTAGCATTATCAAAGTGAGGCACTTTCAGGGGAAAAGGAAAAAAAGAGTCCATAGTCAAATAGATTTGGTGAACTTTGTTTAGTGACTGTCTGTACAAATATTTGGCTCAAATTTTCTGCTGGTTTTGATATCCTCACCGCAGTGTTTCCAGACTAATTTGATCGTGGAAACTTTCTCCAGCATCTGCTTTCCTCAAAAGCATCCCGCGGAGAATTTTTGATAAGAATTACAGTTCATGGGATGGGAGGAACGATGCAGAAGTCATGATTCCCAAAGAAAAGTTCTCTGAGTGATGAATTATATTTCAGGCAGATAGTGTTTTTTAAAAGCACTTTGGAATTCATGTCTTTATTACTATTTGAAACGTTAAAAATTGAAAGCTAGTAGGCAGTCTGCCACCATACTAATTGTGGCTTTTTTTGGAAAACAACGCTTATTGGAAGTCTAAGAAATGAACAGTGATGGGCTGCAGAGATACTGCTTCTCAAAGGATCTTGGTTTAGTTCCTGCCACCCACTTGGCAGTTCGCAGCTGCACATAACTCTAATTCCAGGGACACTGACACCTCTGGCCTCTGCACCACACGGTGCACAGACATACAAACAGGCAAGAACTCCTATACATGTACAGGTAAATAGATAAATAAGACACATCATTAAAAAAAGAACTGGTGGTAAAAACAAAATTTAGTTCTCAAGTAAAGTCTGATCAGATACACATATTTTTATTCTGTAATGGGTTGACTTGTTCTAAGCTGTTAATAAAGGTATCATGTGCTACAAATAGTATCGGTATATATAGAAATGAGTTGTATTTGCATACTAGAAATATATTAAGATTATCAGACTATGTAATAATATTTTAAATTCTTTATTTCCTTACCAGGAACTTCAGCATGAAAATATCGTAGCACTCTATGATGTTCAGGTACTTTATTTTGGATATTTTTTAACTTAAAATTAAAAAAAAATATTTCATGTGAATTTAAGTGAATTTTATTGGAAATTTAAGATTTCCTTAATTTGTTCTGAAAAAAACATACAATCAGAGTTACAATAATTTTTTTATTTTTAAAATTGGATTTATATGGGATAAAGAGACGGCTCAATGGTTAAGAGCACTGTCTGCTTTCCTGAGGACACAGGTTGATTCTCAGTACCTACATGGAAGCTTACAACTGTCTGTAATTCCAGTCTCAAGGGATCCAGAGTTTTCTTCCTGCCTCTCTGTATGCGACCTGGCCACTAGGCAAAGACATGACACACAGGCATGCATACAGGCCAAACAACCATACACATAAAATGAATATAGGTATAGCAGACTTCCTTGTTGGACTATCTTTGGACTGCCAGCCTGCAAATAATGACCTGGAGACTTATTATTAATTATGAAAGTTTGATCTTAACTTAGGCTAGTCTTAGTTAGCTCTTATAACTTAAATTAGCCCATTTATATTAATTTATGTTCTGCCATGTGGCATTACCTCTTTTCTATCTTGCACCTTTTCTTTCCTCTCCTTGTGTGACTGGCGACTCTGCCTTTCTTCTTCCCAGAGTTTTCTCTCTGTCTGGAAGTCCTGCTGATACTTCCTGTCTAGCTATTGGCCATCCAGCTTTTTTATTATACCAGGAACAGCAATACATCTTCACACAGTGTACAAATACTCTGCAACATTTACGTTTTTAAAATTGTTTTTTTTTGTGTGTGTGTGTGTATGTATGTATGTATGTGTGTGTGTGGGTGAATTCATGGTGTGGTGTACAAGAAACTGAAGTTAGATCTTGAGGTATGGTGGTCAGTACTGTTAGCATCAGAGCTAGCTCACCAGCTCCAAGAATCTTTTAAAAATAACATAGACTGCCGGGCAGTGGTGGCGCACGCCTTTAATCCCAGCACTCGGGAGGCAGAGGCAGGCAGATCTCTGTGAGTTCGAGACCAGCCTGGTCTACAAGAGCTAGTTCCAGGACAGGCTCCAAAACCACAGAGAAACCCTGTCTCGAAAAACCAAAAAAAAAAAAAAAAAAGAAAAAAAATAACATAGACCCCTAGATTAAAATAAATAATGTGCTGCATGAATAAATATAAATATACTGTGGAGTAGTATTGCTTTAGGGTAATTTGTGGTTTATAGCAAATCTAGCATTTGTGTACTTGTTTTTTTTTTTTTTTTGGATTTTCAAGACAGGATTTCTCCCTAGCTTTTGGTTCCTGTCCTGGAACTAGCTCTTGTAGACCAAGCTGGCCTCGAACTCACAGAGATCCGCCTGCCTCTGCCTCCCGAGTGCTGGGATTAAAGGCGTGCGCCACCACCGCCTGGCTGTGTACTTGGTTTTACAAAACAAGGTTTCTCTGTGTAGTCTTGGCTGTCCTGGAACTTACTTTGTAGACAAGGCTGATCTTGAACTCACAGAGACCCAACTGCGTCTGCCTCTGCCTCCCAAGTGCTGGGGTTAGCTACCACCAATGACTCTGAGCATTTCTTTAGTAAATGTAAAGACTGTTGTGGCCGGGCAGTGGTGGCGCACGCCTTTAATCCCAGCACTTGGGAGGCAGAGGCAGGCGGATCTCTGTGAGTTCGAGACCAGCCTGGTCTACAAGAGCTAGTTCCAGGACAGGCTCCAAAGCCACAGAGAAACCCTGTCTCGAAAAACCAAAAAAAAAAAAAAAAAAAAAAAAAAAAGACTGTTGTGGTCTACTTAAATTAGGTAAAAACCTTTTTCTTATGAAAGCAGAATTTTTTTTTTTTTTTTGGTTTTTCGAGACAGGGTTTCTCTGTGGCTTTGGAGCCTGTCCTGGAACTAGCTCTGTAGACCAGGCTGGTCTCGAACTCACAGAGATCCGCCTGCCTCTGCCTCCCGAGTGCTGGGATTAAAGGCGTGCGCCACCATCGCCCGGCCTGAAAGCAGAATTTTTAAGTCATAGTAGTAGGAAATAAAAGTAAGAATGCTGTGCATGTTTACCGTGTGTGTCTATGTGTGTTTCAGCATGGCATATGCTAGAACTGTGTTTTATTTAGAGATGATATCTGGATTCTAAGGTCATATTTTTGTTTGCTTTTTAGAGACAGAGTCTAAAGTCATCTAAATCAAACTTTGTAGTCAGAATCATTCTTAGAAATCTTTGGAGAAAAGTAGTTTTCTGATTAAATAGTTGGCTTGCATTAGAGGGATTATGATGGTTTTTTAAAAGTCATGGTTTATATGTCATGTGTTTTTTATAAATAACACATGTTAATCTTTAGTTTTTATGCTTTTGTTGTTGTTGTGTTTTCATAGTACTGTTTACTAGTGATTTCATTAGGGTTAAACCTCTAGGAATGAGGGGGTCCTAGTTAGAAGCCGCCTCAGATGTCATATTGAACCATCAGCTCAAGTTCAGTAGTAGGATCACCTCCTTGTTCCAGGTACAGATTATTGTAAGGCTGCTTTGGTTCTACAGGTTGGCAGGGCATCGCCCCAACCTAGAACATGAAAACCATTAAGGCCATGAAGCCAAAGAGCTATTTGCACATGACTTCCCATGATTCTTAATAAACATGTTTAGGTTCCAGTGCATCAGTTCACCCTAGTTCAACCTCACATCCGGGTGGTCCCATTCATTCTGTGGATACCTCTCATACTGTGAGCGGCCGGTCAGGGAGCTTCCAGTAATCACCATGCTCCATTCGTACATATTATACTTTTTGGCGGCTGCAGCCCATTCTTCAGGGACCAGCAGCATGCCTTGGTTGTGTGGAAAGCTGCCCGTGCCCCGAGTGGCACCATGCTGCCTGTTATCTTTTGCAGTCATTGGACTCCCAGGGCTCATCCTGCCCACAACCATCCTCATCTTCTGTCATTTTTTTAATACTTTTAGCTGTGAGAAATTTATTAACAGTTTTTGTACAGAAATACAGTGTATGTTTGTTAAGTGTTGTCCTCCCTGTTTGGAGACAAGAACTCTCACCAAGCTCTCAGGAGATAGGAAAGGCTCGTTCCCTAGGTAGCAAACCCTCCCTGTTGTTGCTTTCTCTTGCACTTGGGATTACACGTCTGTGCTGTGTGGGTTCAGCAGCTCGGATTCAGGTTCTAGTACTTGTAAGGTACTTTAACAACTGAGCCACTCCCCAGCTCACTTTTTTTTTTTTTTTGCTCTCACTGTGTAGCTCTGGTTAGCTTGAAACTCACTATGTAGACCAGATTTGTCTTGAAGTCCTAGAGACCCACCTTGCCTCTGCCCCCCTAGTGCTGGACTAAAGGTGTGCATTGATTACCATGTCTGATAGGGTTCCTAGCTTTCTTTATTTTGGTTTGGTTTGGTTTGGTTTTTGAGACAGGGTTTCTCTGTAGCTTTGGAGCCTGTCCTGGAACTAGCTCTTGTAGACCAGGTTGGACTCGAACTCACAGAGATCCGCCTGCCTCTGCCACCCGAGTGCTGGGATTAAAGGCATGTGCCACCACTGCCCGGCTGCTTCCTATCTTTCTTGAAGTGAAATTAGTTGTTAAAAATTTTTATCATGTTGACTCTGAAAAGGCTATGTCAGTTTATTTCAAGCAATAAGAGCCCCCATACTTGACAAATCTCATATGAGAAAAACTCCTGAAGTTTAAAATTTTTTTTCATAAATCATTAGTAAATGAATCATCTTGTTATATTTGGTGATTGTTTGTTCTCTCTCCCTCTGCCTCTCCCTTCCTTCCTTCTCTCCCTCCTTTCTTTTTCTTTCTTTCGTTCTTTTGGGATTTTGAGGCAGGGTTTCTCAGTGTAACAGCTCTTAGCTGTTCTGGAATTCCCTTTGTAGACCAGACTGGTCTCAAACTCACAGATATCCACCTGCTTCCCAAGTGCTGGTATCAAAGCCCTGTGCTACTGCTGCCTGGCTGCCCTTTGTTATTTCTTTTCTGACTTTCTCATTGCTGCCTCTGGTGTGTTTGTTGTTAATTGCTTTGTAATTAGTATTTTCTTGAGGCAGTTAAGGAAAGCAGTGGTGAGCAGAGAAGTGGTTCTTGTTTATGGTTTTTGTATGGACGATGACATCAAGCAAATAGTTGTAATTTTAAGCATGCAAGGCTGTGTGCAGAGCTGCTGCAGAGCTTTGGAGGAAACAATAGAGGAGCCAGGGTGGGACTGGGGGAAGGCTCCCTGAAGAAATTATTTGATAGGTGGGTGGGAAGGCTAGGCTAGGAGTTGGTGAGCGAGCAGCAAGCAAGTGTCCCAGGGACTTCCCTTGTGAGGGTCACAAAAAGGAAGAGTTACTGAGCTGTTGAGCTTGGTGGCCAAGGAGAAGGCTTTCCTGAGCAGAATACAGAAATGAGAGCTGGTGGTGCTCGAGAGGTTAGAAGGAGCCCGGTGGTATGATCTTTATTCTTTAAAAAAAATCTGGTTATGTGACTTTGAAGAAGCAGCAGGCAGAGTGATAGGAATGAGGAAAATCAGGACAGTACTTGTTGGTAGGAGGTGATGGCAAAGAGATGTTAGGGAGTTTTATGGGAAATGGGAATGTTACATGTCTTGATCTGAAGGGGACACATTTGTCATAATTAATTGAACTGTAAGGCTGAATAAGACTATTTAATGTTAGTGTATATAAAGTATATGCCAGTTAAATGCAAAAGAAGGTGGTTGGCATTCATAGTTTGAAACAATACTTATAACAAAAGTAAATTTCTATTACTAAGCCACCCAGACTATAATTGGTTGTTATAACAGCCAGAAATGACCAAACATGATAAGCCCTGAATGTAAGAAAACTTAAATTAGGGTGTTGTTTTTACAGCAAACTCATTTAGGATCTTGTCCAAGTTAGCACTATTATCCTTGTCACTATTCTGGACATGACTGTACCCTATAGGGTACCCTGAGGTTGTCCAGTGCAAGTTAATCACAAGGGAAATGACACTAAGGACTATAAGAATGACATTATTATTTCTTCTTTTCTGTGAGATATCTCATAGAAGTTACCTGAAGATTGAAGAATGAATTTAAAAATGTAGCAGAGCCAGATGTGGTGGTGCACATCTTTAATCCCAACACTAGAGGCAGAGGCAGGTAGATCTCAAGGAGTTTAAGAACGCCTGGCCACCGGGTGGTGGCGGCACACGCCTTTAATCCCAGCACTGGGGGTGGGGGGCAGACAGGTGGATGTTTGTGAGTTCGAGGCTGACCTGGTCTACAAGAGCTAGTTCCAGGACAGGCACCAAAGCTACAGAGAAACCCTGACTCGAAAAAAAAAAAAAAAGAGCAGCCTGGTCTACATAGCCAGATCCAGGATAGCCAGAGAACCTGTCTCAAGACAAGCAAGTGTAACAGAGAAATTGAAAGATTGGGTTTTAGGAACTATAAATTTTTCTTTTAATCTTCCTTTGTTAGTAAATAGGTTTCTGTTACTTTTGTATCCTACTGTTGTTTTCTTTATTTCTGCTCTGAGTCATGTAAAGTCTGCCACAAAGAACCACTTGTACTGCTGCTCAACTTGTAAAGACTCACTTTTTTAAAAGCTAAGTTAATAGATCCTTAGTGTAAAAACAAAACTATCTAACAATATATGAAGCAAAAATGAGATACTTTATTCTCGACTCATTTACTTCTAGAAGAAACCTCTGGTGTATCTTATATATAACTTTCTCTTTTTTATATTTATTTTACTTTATGCGTATGTTTGCTTGTAGTGCACATATATGCTCCACTTGTGTGTCAGGTGGTTGTGGAGGTCAGAAGAGGGTGTTGGATCTCCTGGAACTGGAGTTATAGGTTTTTAAACCTCCATGTGGGTGCTAGGAACTAGACCCAGGTCCTCTACAAGAGCAATAAGTGCTATTAATTAGTGAGCCATTTCTTTAGCCCCAGCTTTCAAACCCTTCTGCTATCTTCTGTTGGCTCTTAATTGAAGCTATCTTTCCAAGTCAGGAGTTCCTCATTAATTGTATATTACCTTCACATTCTTTCTACCAAAAGCTTACCCTTAGAGGCTGAAAGAAGTGGAAAAGTCTTCTTGTGGTTTCTCCTTTCATTGAAATAGGCCTTGCAAAGGCATTCTATAAAATGCCTGGTTGGTAGGGTAAATATAGATCCTTCAGTAGACACTGCCAGTGAATCACTTCACACTTCTACCAACAGTGTATGAAGGTTCCTCTTGCTCCACCTTCTTGCTAAGATTTGGCAATTTTAGTTATTCTGGTAATTGAGTTGGGCTAGGATTTTTTAATTTTATTTTTTTGAGGCGGGCTTAAATAGTCCAGACTGGTTTCAGACTTGCTGTGTAGCTCAGGATGACCTTGAACTTCTGATATTCTGCCTCTGCCTCCCAAGTACTAGGATTACAGGGGTGGACAACTTTGCCTAACTTCTAATTATGCTTTTAGTTAGTATTTTCCTGTTGTCTCTTGTTTGAATGTGATTTGTATGTTTATTAACAATTTAAATATCCTTTTGGAATTTCCATGAAAGTTTCTTGCTTGTTTATCCACTGGGTTATCTTTTTGTTGTTTGTAAGAAGTCTTTTAAAAATTTTATTGGCATTACTTGTGTGTGTGTGTGTGTGTGTGTGTGTGTGTACACATGTACACATGTACACATGTGCATGCAAGTGTCTTAGGAGGCCAGAACAGGTCATAGGATGCCCTGGAGCTGTAGTCACAGGTGATTGTGACCATTCTTGGCATAAGTGCTGAGAAACAAACTCATGTCTTCTGGAAAGGAAGAAAGCACTCATTTTTTTTTTCAAGACAGGGTTTCTCTAACAGCTGTCTGTGCTGGAGTTCCTCTGTTCATCAGGCTGGCCTCAAATTCTCAGAGATCCACCTGCCTGTCTCCCAAAAGGCATGTACCACCACTGCCTGGCTTCCATTCTTTTTATCTTATTCTCGTAAGAAATAAGGGAAGCAACTCATCCTACGTCACAACTTTTTTTGTAGCTGTAACTTCACATTTAGGTCTAGCGTTGGAGTGGGCAGCCCCTTGGTAATGGTGGCAGAACAGCTGTGTAGCAGCCCCTTGTGGTACTCATGCCTAGGGCTAATGGTTACATCTGGGGGAAGAGCTGCTTGACTTCCTGACCTGAAGCACCAGCTTTTATTTCTGATCTGGATAAACTGAAACTTAAATTTAATGACAAGTTACTATAAAAGGGAATGAAAAAGGTCCTATAAATGGACATCCAAATTGAGGGAGGGGACCTATTTTATTATGTGGTGCTGGAGCCCGAACATGGGGCTCATGTATGTATACTGGGCAAGTGTTTTGTGAGTGAGAAAGACCTCCAGGTCAAAGTTCACATTATTAAGTTCAGAAGTAAAAGTTGTTTTATAGAATTGCTTTAAGTTTTTTCAGATTCTTATAGTTAATTTCTCTAATTCTTTGTTATAGATATGTGGACAGTAGGAAACCGTTTTCTGACCAGAACGGGTTACTTCTTTTCTGTGATGCCCTTGTCTTTGAATTTTGGACCTTGTTGAGATTGTTGCCTGTCAAGTATTCTTTATTTTAACCTGTAGGACCAGTTCAAAATGACTGCCATCTATTTAGTCTCTGAATGACTAACCCAACATACTTTAAGCTACATAAGTGTTAAATTTGTTTCTCTGTGCTTTGGAGCCTGTCCTAGAACTAGCTCTTGTAGACCAGGCTGGCCTTAAACTCATAGAGATCTGCCTACCTCTGCTTCCTGAGTGCTGGGATTAAAGGTGTGCACCACTGCTGCCTGGCAGTTTGCTTAAATCTTTAAACATCTTTGTGTAATGTAATGAGACACCAAAAATTGCTTGTCCTAGTTGATGGGTTTCAGAAATGAGTTCCTTAGTGTTGGTAGGAAAGAGTAAGACCTTCGCTACCCAACTCACTTCCGTAAGGACCAAATGAAGCCTTTCTTCTCACAAGTGGTGAATACATCATGGTGCTGTTGGAGACAGGGTTTTGCTATGTTGATGAAGCCTTGAGTTGTAGTGCTCTTCCATGTGCCTGTTGACTGTGCCTGGTCAACATATTTTCATTTTACTGTTTGTCATTATCCATACCCTGAAGCTGATTTATCCTTTAGCACTCTAAGCAGAATGGAATGTTTTGATACCTACTGTAATGCGTCAGAATTTAATTTGGCTGTGCAGAATGGCTGTTTAAAACATTGTGTTGAGAAGTTTAGAACTGGAGGCATAGCATAGAGGTTTTTCTCTAGGGTGGCCCAACCCTGGGTCCATCCTTAGCAGTGCAATGAAATAAAAAAAAAAAAAAAAGATTCCTCTTGCCTGGGAATTTTAATTTTACTTTCTGATGAATTTTGTGAGTTTATTTTATTAATTCAATAATGAATAAATATATTTTTATTAACTTACCATTTTTAAACTTGATGTTTTTTGTGATATTTGTGTTTATTTTCTAGGAATTACCCAACTCTGTCTTTCTGGTGATGGAGGTAGGTATTCTACCAGTATTGACAAGTAAGTATTAATAAAGTTGATTGAATGATTTAGAGTCTGCTTCATAAAGAATGTAAAATTTAATTGTTTTAATTAAATAATTAAAATACTTTAAAATTAGATTTTATTTTCCAAATTATTTTTAAATTAAAATAAACAGAATGATTAAATTCATTTTGAATAAATGTCCTCATTTTAATTTTTTAAATTAAATTCCATTTTATTGGCTGGGTATGGTGTCACTTGCATATAATTCCATTAGAGGCAGAGATAGGTGAATCTCTGTGAGTCAGAGGCTAGCCTAGTCTATAAGGCAAGAGTTCTTGCCAGGCAGTGGTGGCACACACCTTTAATCCCAGCACTCAGGAGGCAGAGGCAGGTGGATCTCTGTGAGTTTGAGGCCAGCCTGATCTACAAGAGCTAGTTCCAGGACAGGCTCCAAAACCACAGAGAAACCCTGTCTCAAGAAACCAAAAAAAAAATTTTTTTAAAAAAATCAACATTATATTTATTTATCCATCTATCTATCTGTTTATTTATTTATCTCGTGCATCTGTCAGGGAGAGGGTGGACACTGGCTTGGAGATCAAAGGAATTGAAGGCATTGGCTTTCTCTGTTCTCCATCCATCATGAGAGATTCTACTCAGGTCACACTTGGCACCCTTCCCTCCTGGATCTCTTCAAACACCCTCTTTTTTTTTCTTTCTAAGCCTAAAATGTTTTTGTTGTTGTTTTTCTTTGAGACAGGTCTCACACTATGTATCTTAGCTGACATAGAATTTACCTTATTTTAGTCCAGGATGTCCTTGAACTCACAGAGATCTGCCTACCTCTGCCTTCCAAGTGCTGGGATTAAAGAAGTACATTGCCTTGTCATGATATAAAATAGTTTATTTTAATCACAACAGCAGTTTCTTTTGACATTGATTATTTTTTCTTTTACACTTCAGTATTGCAATGGTGGAGACCTGGCAGATTATTTGCAAGGTAATTTTATTACTGCATTTACTCTGTGTGTGTGTGTGTGTGTGTGTGTGTGAGAGAGAGAGAGAGAGAGAGAGAGAGAGAGAGAGAGAGAAAGAGAGAGAGGCCAAATAGAGACCAAGTCTCAAAATGGAAGTCAAGTTGTCATCATAGACATTTTTCTTTTCCCGCTGAACCATCTCACTAACCCTGTAAAGTAAATTTATGTTTATCTGTCAATACTCAATAAAGAGCAGTCTGTTTCATTCTATGAGGTTTTTCTGAATCTTGTCCCAAACTTGTGTAGAAATACTCAATAAATATTTGTGTGCTTGTTTACCTGGTAGTCGTTTTGCTGGTTTTCTAAACTTACACACATATTGAACTTTTTCTCTCTGACAATGAGGAAGGAGATTAGAGAAGGGGCTTTCCCCAGGATGGAAGAAACCAAATAGATTTTTTTTTCAAAATGTTTGCATCACTGACCCATTAATTCCTTTTATTTCTTTAAAAATAGATTTGTTATCTGGGCAGTGGTGTTACACGTCTTTAATTCCAGCACTTGGGAGGCAGAGACAGAGATAGGTAGATCTCTGTGAGTTCAAGGTCAGCCTGGTCTACAGAGTGAGCTCCAGGACAACCAAGGCTACACAGAGAAACCCTGTCTCAAAAAATAGAAAAACAAAAAGCATTTTTTTAAAAACCATGAAAGTTGAAGGAGGAGTGAGTGGGAGAAGGGAAGTGGGAAGGTAATGAGGGTTATATGATCTATATGTACACATATACAAAACATCACTATTAGGTATAATTAATATATGTTAATAAGAGGCCAGAGACATGACCCTGTGGGTGAAGTTACTTGCTGCCAAGCTTGACAGCCTGAGTTCAGTACTCAGGGTTCCAAATGGTGAAAGGAAAGAACATATCCTCTTAAGTTGTCTGCTGACCTCCATATGTGTGCTTCCTGCCCACTAAATGAATAAGTAAATATTACTTAAAATTTTAATATATGCTAATACAAACATTTGAAAAATTAAAATCATAGTCAGTGGGGCAGGAGAGATGACTCAGTGGTTAAGACCTGGGTTCAGTTCCCAGCATCCAAATAGCGGCTCACAACAATCACTAACTGTAGTTCCAGAGGATCTGATGCCTTCTTATGGTCTTTCTTAGCACCAGGCTTGCATGTGGTGCACATACATACATGCAAGCAAAATAACTATACACATAATAATTAAATTTAAAAACTCATAGTCAAAGGATATATTTATATGGACATTTCTTATAATTTAAAAAGCCAGTAATAAGGAATTAAAAATACTGAAATCAGTTTGGGGTAGATTTTAGTACTAAGTGATACTTGAAATTCTGAACCTCAAATGTGTGTAACATATGTGTGTGTGTATCTTTGTATGTGTGTGTGTCCCATATCAGATATCCTGCATATCAGGTATTTATATTACAATTCATAACAGCAAAATTGCAGTTACAAAATAACAAAATAATTTTATGGTTGGGGAGTCACCACAGCATATGAGAGGTCACAGCATTAGGAAGATGGAGGACTGCTGATATAGACACTGATTTGACTCACCCACTCACATTCAGTAAGAAAAATATATCTTGGTGGGTTTTGTTTGTTTGGTTAGTTTTGGTTTTTCGAGACAAAGTTTCTCTGTGTAACAGTCTTAGCTGTCCTGGAATTAGCTCTTGTAGGCATCCAACTCACAGAGACCTACCTGCCTCTACCTCCCAAGTGCTGGGATTAAAGGTGTGAGTCACCTCCGCCTGGCTCAGACTTTTTTCAATGATCTTAAGGATCAATGATGAACAAGTTATTAAAGTATTTTTAAACCATAAAGTGTCAGTTGGCATATTATTAAAGTAATTTTATAACTATAGGGTTTCACTTACTACAGATGTCAATGTTATTTTTACCTTTTACACATTTGAAAATGCTATTCTAAGAATTGTATGGACAGAAATATTCTCACAAAGGATTTAGAGATTTAATGTGTATGTGTGTATTTGTATGAATGTATGTCACATATGTGCAGTTGCCTGTGGAGGCCAGAAGAGCTTACTGGATGCTCCTGAAACTGGAGTGAGAGGTAGTTTTTAGTCACAAGATGTGGGTGCTAAGAACTAAACTTGTTATTCTTAATTGTGAGTCATCTCTCCAGCCCATCTTGAAGGATTTAAATCTTTCATGTAGATTCAGGAGATTGTACTTGAGACATTTTAGATTCATTACTTTAGAAAATTTATACTTTTATACCTAACTATATGTGTACATTATATGCTAGACTTTTTTGACGTTTCCAATACTAAGTATGTTGTTTTGTAATATCACAACTACCTTATGAAGTCAGTCTCATCAAACTTATAAAGAAGAGGGATTGTCTTCTAGAATCACACATGGGGCAAGAACTGGTAATTTAAAAGCCTTACACCCTACGCAACGCTGTTAGCCTATAGCCTCTCCAAGTGCTGTGAAAGTTACTGAATAAGTAACAGTGAGCTCTTCTGGCCCCCACAGGCAACTGCACATATGTGACATACATTCATACAAACACACATATACACATTAAATCTCTAAATCCTTTGTGAGAATATTTCTGTCCATACAATTCTTAGAATAGTTACTGAATAACTATTACAGGAGTGGAAACATGACTGCTTAAAGGTCTCTTCACTTATCGTGTGTGGGGCAGGAGGACTGTGTCTTTGAGAGATAAGAGCAGAGACAATGCTACACAGAGCTAGCTCCCTGACAACAGGTTCCCCATAAGGATTTCATTGTCTTTAGTTTGTGCCCAGGCGCTGCTTGGTACTAAACTTGAACATTTTTCCTAGGTATGACCCATGTAAAAGGGAACTTATTTTTTACCTATAAAGGACATTGTATTTGTTGAGCACCTTTTATGTTCAGAACTGTGCTATAGGAACCTTGAAATGGGAAAGAAAAAAGACATCAAAAACAAAATCGCAAATCAGTTCTCTTTAACAGATCAGGAACCATTTTTTGAGAAATCTGTTACCTCTTCATAGATTTTGGTTGTTGAATTAACAAAAGGAATATATATGAACCCCAGTTTCTTATTTATTTCATACCTCCTTAACAGATGAATTCTCTTAGTGGAATGAAAAGACATTTGATTTTGTGTGTTTAAATATTTATGTGACTCCTATTCCACCAGCGAAAGGAACTCTCAGTGAAGACACCATCCGAGTGTTTCTTCACCAAATTGCAGCAGCCATGCGCATCCTGCACAGCAAAGGTGTCATCCACAGGGACCTCAAACCTCAGAATATCTTGTTGTCTTATGCCAATCGGAGGAAGTCGAATGTCAGTGGTATTCGTATCAAAATAGGTAAACATCCATATATTGCTTTGTGGAAAGGACATTTTTTTCAGACAGTATTTTTAGATCATTTTAGTTCAGATTTGTTAGACTGATGGATTTTATTGATGCTATTTTGAAATTGTTACAGGGTTCATTGAGATTTGTTTAGATACATGAATCTTTTTTCTAACTCTAACAAGGGCAGGATGCTAAGCCTGCTTCTCCAGGAGGGGAGCTGATATAGTATACTTAGAGACAGTGGGTCCCTAACATGGCACAGATGTCTAGAGGGCCTCAGTCTTTGCTGGGGCTTTTAGTGCTTGAGAGAGTTCAAATTCTAAGTGTGGTATTGATGTTTGATGAGAGCTATGTTAATAATTTATTATAAGTAGCATCTTCGCTTGCGAGGATCAAGGATCCTTGGTTAAAGAGCTAGTAAAGTAGTGACTTATGTCGTTGACTGTTGCTGTTTTTAACTTCTTTAAATTGAGATAGCTACTTGTTTTCCTTTGGTGTACAGACTTTCAAGAAACACTTTATTTTTCACAGTTCTTTTGTTTCTTGTTTGTCTTACAAAATTATATATTTGTAAAGTGTGAGCAAAGTGTCATTTGTTCTTTTAATTTTTTTAAATTTTGTGAAACAGCTGATTTTGGTTTTGCACGTTATCTACATAGTAACACAATGGCAGCAACACTGTGTGGATCCCCAATGTACATGGTGAGTGAGAAGAACTTCTGTATTTGATCTGAACAATGATTTATATTGTTGCTGTTAATTATGTTAGCACTGATTCGATCACACAGAGACCTTGCTTTAGCTTTGTGAACTTAAAAGTTGTTCTACATTTGTTTTTAGTATTTTGAGTCTTTTTAAATTGCATTTTTTCTATGTGGACGAATGTTTTCTAGTACCTATGTCTGTGCACCACATGAGTGCAGTGCCTGAGGAGGCCAAAAGATGGTATCAGATGCTCTGGAACTGGAGTTGCCACAGTTGTAAGCTATGTGGTTGCTGGGAACTGAACCTGGATACTTTGAAGATCTGCTAGTGCTTTAACTGCTGAGCTATCTTGCCATCTCTTTATCCTCCTGTTCTGGCCTAGAACTCACTTTGTGACCAGGTTGCCCTCAAATCCACAGAGATACACCTGTTTGTCCCCTAAGTCCTGGGATTAGAGGTGTGTGCTGCCATGCCTGGCCCTGTTTTTATTAAAGATCAGTTATGATAGAAATCCCTAAATACTGGCTATTCTGTTGCTGTGATAGAACACCATGAGCAGAAGCAGCTTGTGAAGGAAAATTTATTTTATTTTAACTATGATTCCAGAGGGATAGGGTCCACAATGGCAAGACAAACATGGTAGTAGACAGCTGGAGAAGGGGGATGGCTGATCACATGTTCACAAGCAGGAAGCCTGGAAGTTAGGGAAAACAGGAAGTGGGGTGAAGCTATAATCCCTCAGAGCCATACTTCCTTCAGCAAGGTTCTGCATCATAAAAGTTCCATAACCTCCACAAACAGCACCATGTTCTGGGGGCCAGGGGCTCAAATACATGATCTGTAAGGACATTTCTCATTCAAACCACAACTGTTAGAGTCAATTGAAAATAAAAATTTATATAATACTGTCATAGTATACTTAATGTGTAATATTTAAGAATACTTACAGAAAGCTAGACAGCGGTGGCGCTTTGAATCACAGCACTCAGGAAGCTCTGTGAGTTCAAGGTCAGCCTGGTCTACAGAGTGAGTTCCAGGACAGCCAGAGGTCCACAGACATCCTCTCTCAGAAAACAAACAAAAAAGTTTAGTTTTATTTAAATAGGATTTACTTTTTAAATATTTAAATATCGGTGGTGGCGCACGCCTTTAATCCCAGCACTCGGGAGGCAGAGGCAGGCGGATCTCTGTGAGTTTGAGACCAGCCTGGTCTACAAGAGCTAGTTCCAGGACAGGCTCCAAAGCCACAGAGAAATCCTGTCTCGAAAAACCAAAATAAACAAATAAATAAATAAATAAATATTTAAATATATTTAGATATATTGCTTATATATAATAACATCTAGACTTTAATAGCATTCTAAAAATTCTTAAGTATGAAGTTAGGTCAGGGCAGGACTTGGCATAATATGCCTCTAATCCCAGCATTTAGGAAGTGGAGGTAGGAAGATCAAGAGTTAAGAGCAACCTGTGCTATGTATAGCAAGACTATGCCTCAAAAAAGAAAAAGAAAAAAAGAAATTTTAGCCTGGAACAGAGTATTTTGGCTGATTATTAAAGAAAGTTGACTCTCTGGGGAATATAGCCTAGTGAAGCCCTGGGATCAATCATCTGAACCATGAGAAAGAGGGAAAAGACTGAATTGAGACATTTACTAGGGGAACAGAAATAACATGCAACAATTAAGAGCACTCATTTTTCTTGCAGAGCACTGGGTTCAATTCCTAGCACCCTTTCAGTGGTTCCCAACCACTTACAACTTCAGTTCCAGGGAAACGATTCCCTTTTCTGGCCTGTGAGGACACTGCACACATGTGACACAGACACACATGCAGGCAGAACATCTACAAATATAAAATGAAAAAAATGAGATACTGGGAACAAGTGTTATATATGGAAAATAGTTTCACATAAGTATAGTTGACCTCATTAATGTTTGTTTACTTGATTTTTTATTTTTGGATGGGGGGGTAGGTTTTATTTTGAGACAGGGTCTCTCTATGTAACTTTGGTTGGCCTGAAGCTTGCTCTATAGACCAGACTGGCCTCCGACTCAGAGATCTGCCTCCTGAGTGCTGGGATTAGAAGTGTGCACCACCACCACCCGTCAGTATATATTTTCTTTATTACTATAATGCTCATTCTTGGTATCCATTATAATATATAGACATACTTGTTTCTTTTGTCATGCAGCATTGTATTGTAATTCTACGTATCATTCTATAAGGGTAATATTACAATATGTTAACATTTTTATTTTGTAATATGATCAAATTATTATCAGTGAATCAATGTATGCACATTAAGACTGTAACTAACATAGTTCATGTCTCTTGAATTTTTGTGAACAGGCTCCTGAGGTTATTATGTCTCAACATTATGATGCTAAGGCAGATTTATGGAGCATAGGAACAGTGATCTATCAATGCCTAGTTGGAAAACCACCCTTTCAGGTAGCCTCACTTTTTCTTATGTTCTAGGTTCTAGTATCTTCTAATTTGCAGTTACCTTTGATTTATAAAATAAGGACTACTTTGAAATCAGTAGGCTTTAGGCTTTTCTGTGATTTGATTTTGTTACAGGTAATGCTGTGGGAGCCAGGGTGTATGCTCTTCCTTTCTACCTGCTTGCCCTTTGTAGTTGGGCTGCCATGAAGTTTTCTCGGCTAGTAGCATAGAGTCAGGGCTAGCTAGCCCTAAGATGAATGGTAACCAAACCTCTTCCTGTTAGCCTGGTTTCAGGGTCAGGGAATCCAGATGAGGTGGGCACTGTTCTGATGGGTTATAGAAAACTTATCTGCTACATCTCCTGGCACTTTGTGGATGAGAGGGGGATAGTTACTGAATTTTTGGTTCTTCTTCATCTCCTTTTCTTATTAAGAGCCTGACCTTCAGAGGATATGCCGGCGTCTCTTGTGTTCATATTATAATGTTATAATTTTTTAGTTTTATTATTTTTTTTTTCGAGACAGGGTTTCTCTGTAGCTTTGGACCCTGTCCTGGAACTCTTCTATAGACCAGACTGGCCTCGAACTCACAGAGATCCATCTGCCTCTGCCTCCCAAATACTGGGATTAGAGGCGTGCATGTGCTGCCCCCACCACCTAGCTGTTTTATTAATTTTTTAACCTGAAAAGTCTTTACCTAGCATGGTATAAAGAGTGAAATTCTTTACTCAGCATTGCATAAAAAGAAACCAGTAACTCAGTCAAGTTACTTGCTTTGCATTCCCAGTGTGGTTCCTAGGTAGAGGAAGTTTCACTGACCTAGCCACTCTTCCTGTAAGAGTGCTACTGTTAGGGAGAGACAGTATCGGCAATATACTTGTTTTTTTTTTGTTTTTGTTTTTTATTTTTTTCTTGAGTCCCTTGAAAGTCATACAGTAAAACATACCTAGGCTTTACACAGCAGTAATGTACTTACTGGGTAAGCTGTGTAACCTCCAGAGTAACAACTCTTCTCTGTTCAGGCTCCTTGGAGGGTCTGAATATTTTGTACCAAGATACTCAGAATTTGCATATTATCTCAGATGGTTTTTAAGTCTTTTGTGCCCAGCAATCCATTCGTGGTCAGTCTATAGCTCTCAGGGTCAGTATCAATAACATTTTGCAGTAGGAACAGATTTGAAAGTTTTGCTCCCCTCTATTTAGAAAGTTAACTTTTTCTGTTCTTAAATAGGCTAATAGTCCTCAAGACCTAAGGATGTTTTATGAAAAAAACAGGAGCTTAATGCCTAGGTATGTGATTAAAATTTATTCAAATTTTATTGGGTTTTATTTTTTAAAACAATTTATTTATGTACTTAAGTATTTATGTACTTTCTCTGTAGCCCATTTAGCCTTAAGCCCACGATCTTCCTACTTTACCTTTATGAGTGTAATTACCATCATTCCTGTCTAGTCTGGGTTTACTATTCATGAATGCAGTGTTATTTACTTAAACTTAATATTTTGTGAATTTCTGTTGATGAGTCTTTTTCAATTTATAGTAATAAATTAGAAAGTTTCTAACACACCACAAATACATAGGCAGTACTGTGTCATTTGTTTTTTGTTTTTTTAAAATGCAAATTTAAGAAAGCCATCACAGAACTTCTATGTGTTAATTGTATAGAGGCAGATAGACACAGGTTCATAAAGCAAAAAGTAAATTCCTACCTAGGCTCTGGACATTCTGTAGCAATAGTAAGAGTTATTATGTATTTTTTCCAAATGCTCTTTGTGGGAGTTATTTACACATGCTTGAGAGCTTGTGTGTTTGTGTGTGTGTGTGTACATGCAGTGTGAGATAAATTACATTTTGAGTTGTATTTTTTTTCTTTTTTAAGATTGGTTCTCAGGCCGGGCGATGGTGGCGCACGCCTTTAATCCCAGCACTCGGGAGGCAGAGGCAGGCGGATCTCTGTGAGTTCGAGACCAGCCTGGTCTACAGAGCTAGTTCCAGGACAGGCTCCAAAGCCACAGAGAAACCCTGTCTCGAAAAAAACCAAAAAAAAAAAAAAAAAAAAGATTGGTTCTCAGAATAGTCTTTCCTGTATGATGCAGCAGTGTAAACAGAGTGCCTTTTCTATAAAGGGAAGAAGACCAATTAGCTATTTTAACTTATATTAGTCTTTTCATTAATGAAGTTGGCTCATTTTTATTTACCCTAGTAGCTTTTACTAGTTTGTATTCCATGGCATGCATGCGTGTGTGTGTGTGTGTGTGTTTCTGTTCTGTTCCTCATTTTTCTCAGCTGCTTTGCTATTTTAATACTGGCTTTTGGAAATTGGATTCCCTGTCAATTGTATTTGATTAAACTTTGCCCTTTTCTCGACAGATCTGGAGGAGGTGTTTTTTTTTTTCTTTAGAGACTTTTATAGCAACTGTTAATATAAGTTGTGTTAAAACTCAGACTCTCTGTTCTAGAAGAGTAAATAACAGTGTTTAGCACATTAATTGCTGATAATTATCAAAAGTTAGTATAGTGCCTTTTTTCTCACTTCAAGATATGAAGCTTCATTGAATCTTCTTGTTAGAGATGTAATATTTGTGAAAGTGTATATACATTTTTATTTACCAGGATGAAGGCAAAAGTAATGTAGTTAAGTACATAGAAACTCACCACTTACATTGTCTTTTACTTCAGTATTCCCAGAGAAACATCACCTTACTTGGCTAATCTTCTTTTGGGTTTGCTTCAGAGAAATCAAAAGGATAGAATGGATTTTGGTAAGTAATAGCTTCAAGCTTTGTGTATTTTCTAATTTTATATTTTCTGAGAAATGTATAGATTGCATAGAGTTATTTTAGAAAAATAAAAGTCCATTTTGCTTTTGGTTATCTTTTTTCCTTTCACTGTTTTAATAAAGACTCATCAAGTGTTCATCATGTTCCAGGAACGTGGGATAGAGTAGTAAAGAAAACTGTGTCTTCAAGTAGATAACAGTCTGAGGAGAAAAGAGAGATGAGCTGTAAACTGTAATTGTAGTTGTGTTAGAAGGTGCCAGCTACTGTGCAAAAATAGAACAAAGGAAGAGATAAAGAATGAGAAACTAAAATTTTAAATAAGGTAGTCCACAGCTCTGGCTGTCCTGGAATTCACTTGGTAGATCAGGTTGGCCTTGAACTCACAGAGGTCTACTGGCCTCTGCCACCACCACCTGACTAGAGTCTTAATATTAACATAAATATCTACTACTTCTGATATCCATATGGGTTTAAGTTACTATTCCATATCATTTCTTTGCTCTGATATGTTTCTATTTCTCTCTGCCTTTTGTGGTCTCATTGGTTTATTTATCTAGTTGTCAATATCGTTTAGTCATGAGTCTTAGCATTTAATGGCTGAGACATCTCTCCAGCCCTAGTCAATGTCTTTTCTAAAGGTTGTGTTCTCATGTTTCATTACAGAAGCATTTTTCAACCATCCTTTTCTTGAGCAAGTTCCAGTTAAAAAATGTAAGTACCCATTTTTACTTAGAGTATGCAAGCTGAAAGAAAAAATTTAGTATTTTACAACACAAAATTAATTTTTTAATGTTTTTCAAAAATTCCTTGAGCATTGCCTATATACCTGTAGCCCAAATTCTAATTGGTATTAATAATAAAAACCCAGCCGGGCGATGGTGGCGCACGCCTTTAATCCCAGCACTCGGGAGGCAGAGGCAGGCGGATCTCTGTGAGTTTGAGACCAGCCTGGTCTACAGAGCTAGTTCCAGGACAGGCTCCAAAGCCACAGAGAAACCCTGTCTCGAAAAACCAAAAAAAAAAAAAAAATAATAAAATAAAAAATAAAAAAAATAAAATAAAAACCCAGAGTCTGACATAGGGGTTAATGCTGAAGATCAGAGAAGCAGAGTGGTCAGCTACTAGAGAGTTCTCACCTCTACCAATGCTAAGACTGAAGGGGCAATCCTGTCCTCAGACTATTTAGATCTGTCTCCACCAAACCTCAGACTGTACTGAGCTCCTGTCTCCTCCTGCCTTATATTCCTCTCTCTGCCCAGGCATATCACTCCTGCCTCCACCTCCCTAATGCTGGAATTAATGGCATGGGATCCCAAGTGCTGGAATCACCTTTTAAAACAGATTCAATCTTGTGTAGCCCAGGGTGGCATTGAACTAACAGAACCGTCTGCCTCTGTCTCCTGAGTCCTGGAATTAAAGGTGTGAGCCACCACTGCTTGGCCTCTAGTTGCTTAGCTCTGCTCTCTGATCTTCAGGCAAGCTTTATTTGTTTAAAACATAAAATATCACTACAATCTATAATTGTGTTTGTTCAACAACAGTTTTTTTCTTTCTATATCCAAGTTGAAAAGATTTAGTAGCTGCTGCATTTTTATTTGAAATTTTTTAAATTATTTTTATGGTGTGTGTGCATGTGAGTGTGTGTGTATGTACACACACAGAACAACTTGCAGGAATCAAGTTGAGTTCTATCCATGTGGGTCCTGCTGATCAAACTCAGGTTGTCGGATGTGGTGGCAAGCACATTCACCTGCTAAGTCATCATTCTAGTCCAAATTTTATATTTTTGTTAAATTAAAATCTAAAAACACTTATCTTTGTTATTTTTAAGCATATCTTCGTGTCTGTGTGTGGATATGTACACTTGAGGGCAGGTGCCCAAGAAATCCAAAAGAGTTATAGATGGTTGTAAGGCAGTTGATGTGGATGTTGGGAACCACACTAACACTCTTAACTCTCCTTACATTTATTTACCTAGTGTGTGTGTTTGTGTATTCGTGTATGTGCACACATGTGGAAGTTAAAGAACAACTTGGTTGGGCTCCTTATACCATGGGTTCCAGGGATCAAACTCAAGTGGTCAGGTTGGCTGCCGGTACCTTTTCCTGCTGAGCCATCTGCCCAGCCATTCTTTTCTTTTTCCTTTCCTTTTTTTTTTCCCCCCTGAGACAGGGTTTCTCTATTTAATAGCCTGACTGTCCTGGAACTTCCTCTATAGACCAGGCTGACCTTTAACTCACAGAGATCTGCCTCTAAATATCGTGAGTGTTGGAATTAAAGGTGTATGCCATCACACCTGGCTCTTTTTTTCTTTCTAAAATAGTTTGTTGCATTTTTTGTTCCATCCTTGTAACAATTAATGAATAGATGAATACAAATTTTGGGTTAAAATAAGATTGTAGTAGGTTTAGAGCTTGTACTGTTAGGCAGATCTTACAACCCACTATAGAGAGATGCAGATTTTTGACTGTGCTTCTTCCCCAGCTTGCCCCGTCCCAGTGCCTGTGTATGCTGGCCCTATCCCTGGAAGCTCTTGCGGCAGCTCGCCATCTTGTCGCTTTGCCTCTCCACCAGTAAGTTGGGTTTTATTAAAAAATGATTTCAGAGTTAGGGATTTTGTTCCCTTAGTGAGTATGTTTGCTATGGAGCTGAAGCCTAGAAGAAAGGACATCAGAGTTGGATCAAGTAGACCCGCCATTGGCCCTCTGCTCTGTTAACTGCATAATACCAGTAAAAAATGATGTGTCTGTAGACCAATTTTTTTCTGAACAGTGATTATTAACTACCACCTTGTTGTTCCACTTGGGAGTTTAGTGATACATGCAAACAAAGCATGCTCATTAGAGGTGGAAAAGCAATAAACAATACTGTACACTGTAAATGTTCAGATTCCATAGGATTTGATGAATGGGGGAATAACCTTGGAACTAGATGTTACTGATTTCACAGTGATTACTAGCCCTGCCACTCAAGTCCCTTCAATCTCCTGAAGTTTTCCAGCTAATCCTTAAGGCTGTGTCCTCTCCAGTTTAAGTGCGGCTTCCTTATCCCTGAAGACTTCTGATTTTCTGCTTGTTTGTCCTTCCAGCTCTATTCTCTGTTTTACCTAGTTCTTTTCTACATGTTGTTAGGCTAATCTCCAGATCTTTGTTGCAGCCTTATGATCTTGAGACTTTTTACAGCTGAAGGCCCAGGGAGCTCTTGTGTCAGCTGTTGTATTTTACGTATTAGCCAAGTAGACATGACGTTTTTGGCTTCTGGCAGAAAGATAAGGGAGCCATAAAAGAAGGCGACTGTGTTATTAGCCAGTTGAGACAATGTAAAAGTTTACAAGGAAGCTTGAAAGCTCCTGTATCCCATATTGACATGGTAATGGGATGAGTGCCTTAATCTCTCTGAGCTTGTTTCTTCATATGTGAAATGAATGCAGTTTACCTCAAGGATAACTGAACATAAACCCTCACCATTTATCTGACACTCAGTAAATTTACAGTCAGTGACAGCTGCTATTAGTATTTTCATGAGAAACCGGGTAACCACAGACAAAATAGATGCAGAGCAAAGCTTATTGCTGAAGATGAGTTTTAGTTTTAAAACCGTCAGATATGGGCTAGAAAGATGGTTCAGTGGTCAAAGTGTTGGCTGCGTAAGCATAAGGACCTCAGTTTAGATCTCCCACATCCATGTACAGTCTGGGCATGACGGCACATAAACCTATAAACCCAGCATGGTGCACTTTCAAAGTAGGTAGATCCCACAGGCTCCACAGAACAGCCGGACTAACCAAAGAGAACTTGTTTCAAAAAATAAGGTGAGAGAGGAAGGAATCCAAAGTCAACTCTAGCCTCCAGATGCACACACACAGACAAGAGCACCTGTATCCATCCATATATGTACATGCATACACACATACCAAAAATAACGTAGAAAAGGGTAAAATAAACAAAAACCAAAAAACCGTTTCTTTCACAATCCAACAAATATAAACCAAATTTTAAAAAAAGTGATATGTTCATAAGGCTTACATTTCTGTAAATTTGACCATTTTTTTTCTTTTTTTTTTTTGTTTATTTTGGCGGGGGGGGGGGCGTTGAGACAGGATTTCTCTATAGCTTCAGAGCCGGTCCTGGAAACTACCTCTTGTAGACCAGGCTGGCCTTGAACTCACAGAGATCCGCTTGCCTCTGCCTCCCAAGTGCTGGGATTAAAGGCCTGCGCTACCACCACCACCTGGCTGAATTTGACAGTTTAAGAGGAAAGAAAGAATGCTTTTTCCCTGTATCTTTCTGGAATACTTAGGGTAACATATTTGTTACTTTTCTTGCTGCTGTGATAAGTGCCTTGGAAGAAGAAGGAGGGTTTACTTATGCCCACAGTTGAAAGGTATATAGTTCATTATGATGGGGAAGATACGGTGGCAAGAGCTGCCTAAGGCTGTGGCAGCAGGAAAAAAACTTGCTCAAGGTTGTGTGGATCAGGAAGCAGAGAGGGCCTTGGGCCAAACTATAACTTATAAGAACACACCTATGGCCTACATTGTCAACTAGGCTCCATCTCTAAAAGGTTCCGCAACTTCCAAAAACAGTGCCATCAGCTAGTGCCCAAGTGTTGAAACATCAGCCAGTGGGGGACATTTTGCATTCAAACCGTAACATTCTACCGTTAGCTTATAGTCATCTCTTAATTCAAAATGCACTCTATCCAACTTTAAAAGTCTTCATTGTCTTAACATTCCAACATTGTTCTGAAGTCCAGAGTCTTTTAAGGATCAAGGCATTCTTTATTGTGAACCCATGTGAAATGAAAAAAAAGTTAGGTGCTTCCAACATATAATGACCAGGGTAAACATTCCCTTTTCAGAAAGGAGAAACATGAAGATATCAAAGAAATAGGGGGCCAAAGCAAGGCTGAAGCAAACAGGACAAATATCAAACCCCACAGCTTCATTTCCTGCATCTAGGGTTCATGGTAGTATCATCTGGGCTCCATTAGAGCTTCACCTTCAAGGCTTCAATCACAGCCCACCAAAGAGCTCCATACAGGGAGTCTGACCCTTTTGTATATTGCCTGGGCCTCAGCAGCTTCCTTAAACCTTGCCAAGTCCTCCTTTACCCACTCACTCTTGCATGGTCATGCCTGAAAAACCAGTGCCATGTGGGTAGTGCCAACTTCAGTGGAGCCTGTCCCCTTGGACCAGAGCTGTAGTGGCCTCTGAGTGTCTGACTGGCTGAACTTGGGAAAGTATTTCCCTAGAAGGCCCTCCTGGAACAGGATGGCCAGGAGGCTCTCGTGTTCACTTGTTCTCTTTAAAGTTTTTCAAAACGGTTTTGTATTGTCGCACCATTCACAGATAGGATTTTGCCCTCAAGTTACCTTTCTTATTTCCCAAGTTCAGAATGTGTGGGGTGAGGAATTTGAGTAAGTGAAGATTGATGATTTCAGGGAAAATTGTTAAAAGTGAGGAGGGGAAAAAAAGTGAGGAGCATCCCAATGTTTGTGTGTGAGGTCCTTAATTCTGTCTCTACCCCTGCAAAAACAAAAGTAAAAATAAGTAAAGAGATAATTTTTTTTAAAAAAATCCAGGCACTCCAAAGCAACACAGAGAAACCCTGTCTTGAAAAAAAAATCAAGGCACTGTAGCACACACCTTTAATCCCAGTACTATGGAGACAGAGGCGGACAGATCTCTGCAAGTGTGAGGCCAGCCTGTTCTACTTAGTGAGTTCCAGGACAGACAGGGCTACACTGTGAGTAGTAATCATAGGGAGGTGGGGATTTGAGATGAAAAAATGAAGCATGTTTATGTAAAAGCCACGGTCTGCTCTGTGCCATGAAAAGGTAGAGAAAATGGAATACAGAGCAGGCTAGACAGGTAAGCTCTGGATACAAGAAAAGCATCACTTTGAACAAGATAAGAAAGGACAGGTGGATGTGGATACAGGTGCTTTTGGATAGCAGAGAAAGAAATTCCAATGTTTCAGTCTAAGTCACTGGCAAGAAATTATAGAGTTAGGTAGTCAGTTTCACTGACTTTTAATTGTATAATACTGGGGAAATGACCTAACCCTCTGAGCTTGTATATTCTAGTTTATGTAGTTGTGAAATGAAGTGCAGAACATAACTAGAATCAGAGCTGTGCCGCGTAGAGTGCCTGGGTCACAGTCAGTGCTTGGCAGTGGCAGTCCTTCACCTTCCCTTCACTTCATTGCTTTCAGGCAGTCTTCAAAAGGGAGGTGAGGGAATTTTTCATTACGTATTGAGACACACAAAAAAGGACATGGGGCTAGGGAGATTTGCCACAGGTCCCGGCAAGAGACCTTGTTTCAGAAAAACACAATGAGAGAGCTGGACAAATGGTTTGGAGTTAAGAGCACTTGCTGCTCCTCCAGAGGACCTAAATTAGATTGCCAGCACCCACGCCAGGCAGCTTAAAACTGCCTGTAACTCTAACTCCAAAAGATCTGACACCCTCTTCTGGCCTCTGTGGCACATACACATAAATCAAAATAAGTAATTTTTTTTCTTAAAGAGTAAGATCAGGGCCAGAGCCAATGGTACATGCTTTTTTTTTAATCCTAGCACTTGTGAAGCAGAGACAGGTAAATTTCTGTATGCTCAAGGCCAGCCTGGTATATATAGTTCCAGGACCATTGATGAATGGCTCTTGGAGAACAATATCAGAGTTTGACCTTTGATCTCTTGATACATGTGCACTTGCACACACAACTTCACACATGCCCAGATGTACACACATAAACACATACAAACATGTGGTAAAGTGCTTTCAGACTCATTTCATTCCAACTGTAAATTCAAAGTCTCAACAGAAGTGATATTTAAGGCATGGGTTTAAAGAACATGATGTAGAATTTTGTTGTTGTTGCTGTTTGTTTTTTCCTTCTCTGAAGTACAGGAACCATAGAGACTTAGCACAAGTTATAAAATTGATTTAGAATCATTGTACAATCAAGGCATTTCAGTAGAGTTATCACCAGAGTCTTTAAACTTGGCAAATGCCAAAAGATAAGACTTATGCCTAAGTCATTTAAATGTAATTATATACTTCTCTTCCTTTCTTGTCCTGTCTCCCACAGATAATCCACCTCCTCCTTAAAAAATAAAATTGAAAATAAAAAGAAAACACCCATGTTAGGTTATCTAAATCTTTCTGTGAGTGTAAACTTGTAGTCTAACAGACATTACACATGTTTGTATGTCTGTTCTTTTTCATAATATGGTCTTTTGCTTTTCTGTGTACAATGTTTTCTTTAATATGTCTAGAACTTTTTATGTCCAAAGTCACTAGACATTTTATGTTAAGTAAATAGTTAAATAGTGTCTGATTTGCAAGGCCATGATCTGGGACTGGGGAAATTGCAGTGACTGAAAAGTCAATTTTCTCTAAAGCTCCAGGCAAGTTTAATATTTACATATGATAAATGCTGTGTTTTTAAGGATCATTTTTAGAATAATGTTTTGGAAGTCTTTCTGCAAACATTTTAAACTGCTTTTCTAAAAGAAAGATTTCTGAAGAGATTTTTTTTTTGAAATCTTAGATGGAAGTTTATTCCCATTTTTACAAAAGCAGTACTCTTCAGGCTATTCTGACTTGCATTTGATGATTAGGACAGTTTTAATTTTATGTTGTTAATTTTAGTCCCTTCCAGATATGCAGCATATTCAGGAAGAAAACTTATCCTCCCCACCATTGGGTCCTCCCAACTATCTACAGGTGTCCAAAGATTCTGCCAGTAATAGTAGCAAGAACTCTTCTTGTGACACGGATGACTTTGTTTTGGTTCCACACAACATCTCGTCAGACCACTCATGTGAGAATCTTTTCTACTTGTACACATTATATTTTTTTATTTACTAAATTTAAGCCTCTATATTTAAACTTGTTGTGTAGGGCACCTTTACAAATGAGCATTTATTTAGTTGTTTTGAATTCTCGGAATTATATACCTACTTTTCTAAAATATGCTTAGTGATTGATTTTCTGTAAGATAGTATTTTTGAATTCTGAAGGTAATGAAAATGTTTAAAGAAATGATCTCAAATTATGTTTACATCCAAACAGAAAGAGAGAAGCAAGGAGAATGAGCAAGTATCTTTAAAGAGATGAAGTAAAGGAAGAATCCATTTGAGGGGAAAAAAAAATCTAAAAGTTAGTTGTTTGTTTAGAGACAGGATTTTCCCCATGCTGACAACAGACTTGCAATCTCCCTGTGTCAGCCTCTTGAGTCCTGGGATTATAATGGGTATGTACCACCATACTTAGCTTTACAAGACTCTTCAGCAGAGAGTCCAGATTAAATAAATTTAGCCAGGACTGATTAGAATGGTGAAGAGTGCCAGAAAACCCATAGAAAAGAGAAGTTCGGCAGAAATGTTGACAAGGTAGAGACCCATGATGTGGTTGTGCAGGGATTAGGATCAGGGGAAGTCGAGATTTGGTACTTCCTGTATGCAGAAGAGATCTGCATTAGGTCTGTGTAGTTGCTTAAGTTACTAAGCACCCACTTAGTAACTGTGTGCTTCTTCTGAGCATTGTCCTTGCTTGTTTGTTTGCAAGATCATAATCCCCAGCATGAACAAAGAGAGGAAAACATGGACCACAGCAAGTGTGCAGTTTAGAATCAGTGCTGTGAAAACTAGGATTACCTTTAAATATCATCCTGTAGTACAGTTACTTGCTTTCTTTATTAAAAGAAATATTTCAAGCCGGTCAGTGGTGGCGCATGCCTTTAATCCCAGCGCGGGAGGCTGAGGCGGGCAGATCTCTATGAGTTCAAGGCTAGCCTGGTCTACAAGAGCTAGTTCCAGGAACAGGCTCCAAAGCTACAGATAAACCCTGTCTCGAAAAAAAAAAAAGAAATATTTCAAACAAAATAGTACAGCAGAAACTCAAGTCACCACTGTACCATGCTGCTTCTGCATGTGTCAGGATTTGCTCTATTTATTTGAAGTACTTTTCTAAAGATAGGCAGATACTACCAGTACATCTAAAGTGTCGTTCCTCTCAGTCCCCAGGTTATGTATTCTTCCTGTAGGTGTTTTGATCCTTTAACCTGTACCTGAATCCATATAAAACATGGTCTCTCTCTCTCTCTCTCTCTCTCTCTCTCTCTCTCTCTTTCATTGAAATAAATGTTATACAGTGTTTATTTCTATATTTTTTGTTCTATTTTTGTTATGCATCTGAATGCATGAGTAGTCATGTGACTAGTTCATTTTAATGCTTCAGTTTTACAGGACAGAACTAAAGCTCAGTTTGCCCATTTCTCTACTGATTTACAATAAGTTATTTCTGAAATTTCAGTATTTAAAATGCATTAAAAGTCAGGCTGGAGAGATGGCTCAGCCATTAAAGACTAGGCTCAAAACCACAAGTAAGATGTATTATAGGTCACCCCAATACCATTGGCTTATCATATTTAATTCTGACAACATGTCTGTGTACAGATACCAGAATTTCTTCAAAGTGGGTACCTTATAAAATATGAGTGCAGAATTTGTCTCTCTGTATAGTGATACTAATGTTTTAATAAATAAAGCTTGCCTAAAGATCAGAAGGGCAAAGCTAAACCACCAGAGGTCAGGCAGTGGTGGCACACACCTTTAATCCCAGGATTTCAGAGACAAGCAGCAGACATCTCTGAATTCAAGGTTACGCTGGGCTACACAAGATCAATGCAGAAAAAAATCCAAGTGGTGGTGCCCCACATTTTTAATCCCAGTACTAGGGATTCTCACCTTTAATCCCAGCACTAGAGGAAATATAAGATGGGAGGGGAGAGAGAGGCTTAGTCAGTTTAGTCTGTGGTCACCCAGCCATGGAAGAGATACTTCTCTAGTGACTTGGCTGCTTTACTTTTCTGGTTTTTGGGTTGAACCCCAGCATCTGTCTCTGGGTTTTTATTATTCATGCAATATCTGTGTCAAGAGACTGTACCTCTAATTTCTCTTGTACTCCCCAATTTATAATCTTTTCTTTAAAAAAAATCTTTTGCAATTTATTTATAGATCAAACAAATAAAAGAATCTGATAATTATTATTTAGTGTGTGTGCCTGCATGCCTGGAGGTCAGAAGACAACCCTCAGGAGTCATCTCCTTCCTCCTTTTAGTTATCAGGTTTAGCAGCAGGCCCAGTTTAAAAAGTCTTAATTGATGTGAGATAGTCGTGGTGGCATACACCTTTAATTCCTTTTGAACACTTTAAATTTTCTATTACTTTTTAAATGATTTGTTTATTTTTATTTCATGAATTGATGTTTTATCTTCACATATGTCTGTATGAGAGCATCAGATCCCCTGGTACTAGAGTTACAGACAGTTATGCGTTGCCATGCAGGTGCTGGGAACTAAACTAGGGTCCTTAGGAAGGCTCTCGTTAACTGTTGAGCCATCTCTCCAGCCCCAGTTAAATTCTCTATATTTTTAAAGGTTTATTTTTAAAGAGCAGGGGAAGGGAACCAGACCACTTAGAGCTGAAGTTATGAATGGCTGTGGCTGTGTGAGAGCTAGAGACAGAACCTGGGCCTCTGCAAGAGTGGCCAGTGCTCTTAACCACTGAGACAACTCTTCAACCTCATAAATCCCCTTAGTCATGAGTGTAAAGAAATGAAATACCACAGTATAAAATAAGAGTTCCTATAATTGAAAATCTGGCAAATTAAGAAGAGTGTAAATATTATAGGAAGTCATTGCTTTACACTAACCTGTGGGCTAGGGCTCAGGGGGTAATCAAAATGAAGTCGTTACACTGAAGTTTCACAGCATCATTCTGAACCTGATCTCTCATGAAATCAGAAGTATTACAATTACAGAGATAACAGCCATCATAATTAAGCTCACTTTCCTTAATCTTTGCACAGAAAGAGTTTAAGAAATATCCCAATGCTAAGGAATTAGTTATTACTTCCTATGGTCTGTCACTCTGTCCAAACCTTACAAGGAATATCACTTATCCACAACCCATGGCTCCTTATTTTGTTTTTCCTTCTCCAGTCCTTTCTGACTCTAAAACCAACCTCCACTATTTAGTCTATGGAACACTTACTCTGTTTCATAGAACAAAGCGAAAGCATTTACTAATTCTACAGTAGAAAATAAAGCCAATTAAGATTTCGTTTTGTTTTGTTTTTCAAGATAGAATTTCTGTGTAGCCCTGGCTGTCCTGGAATTTGCTTTTATAGACCAGGGTAGTCTCAAACTCAGAGATCTGACTGCCTCTGTCTGCCAAGTGCTGGGATTAAAGGTGTGCCCACAATGGAAGCTTGAAAACTGTGTTTTAGCCAGGCGTAGTGATGCACACCTTTAATCCCAATACTTGGGAGGCAAAGGCAGTCAGATCTCTTGAGTTCAAGGCCAGCCTGGTCTACATAGTGAGTTCTAGGACAACCAGAGCTATATAATGAGACTATATAAATAAATACATAAATATGTATAAAAATTTAAAAAACACAAAACACACACATAAGGAAGGAAGAAAGGAAGGAAAGAAGGAGAGAAAGAGAAGAAAAAAGAAAGTTGTGTCTTACCTCAGTGTCTGTACTGGGTTGTATATATGGCTGTAGCATTTCATTGGACTGTTTACTTTGGGGAAGACTACTCTGACATGGTCTTCTGCCTAAAGAATATAATCCTAATAGTATTTTAGTGTATAATGAATGCCTGTAGTTTCAAGAGTTAGTGTAAAATTTCACTTAATAACTTACTTTGTCAGTCATTTGAGCTGTAGTACTCTTGCCTTTAATTCTCTGTGGCATTCTGTAGTACAGGGACCAGTTTGATTCTGTCTCAAGTACTTATATTTAGTCTTGAGCTTAGTTGTGGATGAGCATTGCCGCCTATAGTAAATTGGAGAAGACTTCTATATCTGCTTTTTCCTCTGTATATTTTAAAATAAATTCTGTGGTTATATTTAAGGTATAGGATATTTTTATAGTAAGAATACCTAGTAATATGGTTATCATAATGAAACATAACCATATTCTCACAGTAACATAAAAGTTATAATCTGGTCATTTATCAAAAATCTAATATGCTATTATTTACTATGTACTAACTTTAATTTTTGTTTTTTTTCCCCAGACAGGGTTTCTCTGTGTAGCTCTGTCTGTCCTGGAACTAGCTTTGTAGACTGGACTGGCCTCAAACTCAGAGATCTGCTTGCCTCAGCCTCCCAAGTGCTGAATTAAAGTGTGTGCCATCACGCTCTGCTTTAAGTTTTTTTTTATTGCATTTATGTATGTATATGTATTTGTAACGATTGGAGGACAACTTGAAGAACTCAGTTCTCTCCTTCTATGTGGGTCCTGGGGATTGAACTCAGGTCCTCAGGCTTAGTGGCAAGCGTCCTTACCAGCTGAGCCAACCTGCCAGCCTGTCTTTTTTTTTTCTTTTATTTATTTATTAAAGATTTCTGCCTCCTCCCCGCCACTGCCTCCCATTTCCCTCCTCCTCCTCCCCTAATCAAGTCCCCCTCCCTCATCAGCCCAAAGAGCAATCAGGGTTCCCTGCCCTGTGGGAAGTCCAAGGACCACCCACCTCCTTCCAGGTCTAGTTAGGTGAGCATCCAAACTGCCTAGGCTCCCACAAAGCCAGTACGTGCAGTAGGATCAAAACCCAGTGCCATTGTTCTTGAGTTCTCAGTAGTCCTCATTGTCCGCTATGTTCAGCGAGTCCGGTTTTATCCCATGTTTTTTCAGACCCAGGCCAGCTGGCCTTGGTGAGTTCCCGATAGAACATCCCCATTGTCTCAGTGTGTGGGTTCACCCCTCGCAGTCCTGAGTTCCTTGCCTGTGATCTCTCTCCATCTGCTCCTGATTTGGACCTTGGGATTTCAGTCTGGTGCTCCAATGTGGGTCTCTGTCTCCTTTCATAGCCTGATGAAGGTTAATATCCAGGAGGATGCCTATATGTTTTTCTTTGGGTTCACCTTCTTATTTAGCTTCTCTAGGATCACAAATTATAGGCTCAATATCCTTTATTTATGGCTAGAAACCAATTATGAGTGAGTACATCCCATGTTCCTCTTTTTGGGTCTGGCTTACTTCCCAGCCTGTCTTTTTTAAAACAGACTTATATATAATCTATATTTAGTCCCACTTTGAAAGGTATAGGTATCTGGTATTGCTGGTTATTTGAAGCCTTTTTAGGGTTCTGTGATGTATAGTGATTTATAGATTTATAAATTTAGAATAGATTCACCATTCTATTTCCTTGGGTCAAGTAGATGAAAAAGAGCCTAATCTTACCCATCATCTTTCTAATTTACTTTCTTCCCTTCCTCCCTTTCTCCCTTCCTCCCTCAGTTTCTTTCTTGTTCTTTTCCCCTTTTTTAGAGGCATATTTTCAAGAGGTTTTTTCTACCTTCCTGAGTGTGTGTATGTGCATGTGTGTGTCGGTAAGGGGGTGGTAAATACAAGAATATGGCACCAAAACCAGTCCTGACTTGAACATTTCTCTGGTAGTAAGCTTTTCTCTTCTCCTTGCCTGTGTAAGTACAGGTTCTTATTTTTCTCCTTCTGTCTTTGGGGTTTCAAAGTACTAGAATGGGATCATAATATGATATAATATAAATAACATATTTATATTATAACATAAATAGTATAATATATATAGAACTTAAATATAATCACTAAAAGCTATTGGAGATCTTTTTTGGAGGTTTTTGTCTTTAGGGACATACAAATTACCCAGACCTAAAGTCATTTGAGATATCTTCCCACTCTGTGTGGTTAAGTTACCAAGTTGATATGTACTTTTGGATTCTAGGGATTACTAATTTTTTTATTTAATTTTGTTTTATAATTACATAGTTTCAAACTCAAAACAAAAAACAAAGTATATTGCCAGGCGGTGGTGGCGCACGCCTTTAATCCCAGCACTTGGGAGGCAGAGGCAGGCAGATATCTGTGAGTTCGAGGCCAACCTGGTGTAGTAATTTGAGCAGCGGGGCTGCGTTCCCAGCACCCTGGCTGCCTGGCTAGCTTATGCCCGAAATAACAACACACAAACTGTATTCATTTAAACACTGCTTGGCCCTTTAGCTCTAGCCCTTACTGGCTAATTCTGATATCCCAATCAACCCATCTCTAATAATCTGTGGGCACCGGTCTTACCGGGAAGATTCTAGCCTATGTCCATCCTGGGTCGGAGCTTCATCGCGTGCGTCTGCCTGGGAGCTGGGAGCATGGCGTCTCTCTCTGAGGTGTCTGCTCCTGAGAGGAGAGCTGTGGAGTCTGAGCTCACTTCCTCTTCCTCCCAGCGTTCTGTTCTGTTTACTCCTCCCACCTATCTTCTAACAAATGAGGGCCAAGCAGTTTCTTTTTATTTAACCAATGACCTTCCTCCATCAACCTGGTCTACAAGAGCTAGTTTCAGGACAGGCCCCAGAGCTAAGGAGAGACCCTGTCTCGAAAATACAAACAAACAAACAAAGTATATTTATGAAACATATATATTTTTGTTTAGATACTAGTTTTTAATTACTTGTGTATGTGGGAGAACGTTATGCACATGAATGCAGTGCCTGAGGAAGCCATCGCAGAGTATTGGGTCCCCTGGATCTAGTTTAACAGACGGTTGTAAGCTTCCTGATGTATGGGTGGGAACCAAGTTGGGTCCTCTGGAAGAATAGTAGATGTTCTTAATTGCTGAGCTGTCTTTCTAGGCTCGGGTGTACATTCCTGCCTCTTCCAGTTTCCTTACTCACAGGGTCTGTTTGTGGCTTTAAGTAGGTACCTGTCTTGCTCCATTACTCTTTGTTCATTGCCTTCATTTAGTTTCTCTAGACCTCCTATCACTACCTGATATTATTTCATTATATTCTAGAAGTTCTTTGACGTCTAGGTTATAAGTTCATCTGAGCTGGACCCAAAATGTGCCAAATAAATGCAGTGCTCAGTTTCTTATCAGGATCATTCACAGGAATTTTTATAACTCTCCTTTCTTTTTGAGTATAAGTTATCAGCATGGTTTATTTGAGAAATATTTATTTGGCCAACTGTTACTCAGTATCACATGGAATGACATAGGATGCTGTGATGGAGTGTAGCAGTGTTAGGGCCTGAGTTCTGAACTGTGTGGAACTGATGTGTATAAAAGATAGATGAGAAGATGAAGATAGCCTATGGTATCTGCTGCTGTATTTAAAAGAACAATGTCATATTCAACAAGCTTTCAAAATCTCACAGAGGTGTTACACAAGAGGATGGGCACTCCAGTATTCTGTTGAGCCACGCTTTGTTTTATAACCAGTCCTGGTATAATGTAATGTATATATTTTATGCAAAACTGTGTGGTAAAAGTCATTAAGCCATGAAGAGAATCTATCTCAAAAAGCCAAGACTGTAGAAGCAAGTTCAGCATGGTGATGCGTACCTGAGTACCAGATACAACTGGAAGGAAAGGCAGCATAGATCATGATGTGGGAAGGATCCTTGAGTCTGTCACTTTCATATTGGTCTGGGCAACATGGTGAGACACATCTCAACAACAAATAGGAACAACACACACAACATACAAATGTTACACCACACACAAACACAGAAAATTACACAAGCCTAGGAAAGGAATAGTGAAGAAATACATAAACATAGTACAACTACAGAACTTTAACTCAAAAAAAATCATGGGCTATGCTGGGTGGTGCCCAGCTACAGCCTAGAAACACCCAGACAGGACTGGCTTTCCCAGGCCTGCAGTTCAGATTCAACAGGAGAAATTAGTTCTTATAACTTTGAGTGGTGAATCTGTCAAAAACCATAAAGAAGACCAAGACCAGAAAGCTAAGCAGTGATGTCACATTCCCTTCATTCAAGCACTTCGGAAACAGAAGTGGTACATTGAGGCCAACCTGGTCTACAAAGTGAGACCCTATTTTCAAAATAAACAAAGAAGGTTGTAGGTTTACTTATTGAGGGTCTACATAATGAGTTCACGGACAGTCAGATGTAGAAAGACCATGCATCAAGAAACTAAAACAAATGACAGCCCCCCAAAAAATCCAACAAAAAAATGGATAAGTTCGTGTTGTATTCGGGTTATTTCTAAATCATCATGTTGGAAGAGATTTCCATTCTTTAAAGCATGTAATATAACGGAATTGACTCTTTCTCTTCAGATGATGTGCCGATGGGGACTGCTGCCAGACGTGCTTCAAATGAATTCTTCATGTGTGGAGGGTATGTTAATATATTTTACCAGAAGAGTTTTTATATTTTGGGCCCAGAGAATGTGTTCAGTTGGTGGAATGCTTTTCTAACTTGCACAGAGCCCTAGGTACCACTGCAGGACCATGTAAATAAATACTATGGCATGGTACACCATTGTAATCCTAGCACTTGGGAGATGGAGGCAGGGTGATCAGAAGCTCACTTTTTTTTTTTTTAAAGATTTTATTTATTTAATAGGCAGTATCCGGCCTGTAGGCCAGAAGAGGGCACCATATCTTCTTCTTGGTGGTTGTGAGCCATGATGTGGTTTCTGAGATTTGAACTCAGGACCTAGGGAAGAGCAGTCAGTACTCTTAACCACTGAGCCATCTCTCCAGCCCTAGAAGTTCACATTTTAAAAAATATTTTTCATATTTTGTTATTTTTGTGACTTTATTTTTTTTTAATTTTTTTTTATTTTTGGATTTTCGAGACAGGTTTTCTCTGAAGTTTTTGGTGCCTAGCTCTTGTAGACCAGGCTGGCCTCAAACTCACAGAAATCCGCCTGCCTCTGCCTCCCGAGTGCTAGGATTAAAGGCGTGCGCCACCACCGCCTGGCTTTTGTGACTTTATTAAATTTTGTTCTTGATTTACTTTTTGTTTCAGAATTTACACTTTTATACATTTATGTGTTTAACATGCATACATACAATTTGGGGTTTTTTTTTGGTTTTTGTTCTATTTGTTTTGAGTACGGGGGTTGAACCTAGCACCTCAGACACGCTACCTAAGCATTCCTATGGAATTGTGTATCCAACCCATTACCTTTTTTTCTTATTTTGAGATAGCATTTTGCTAAATTGCCTAGGCTGACCTTGAACTCACAGAAGCCCAAGCTGACCTTGAATTTGCAGTTCTCCTATCTTAGTTTCTTGAACAGGCATGTTTTTTTTTTAAATTTATTTATTTATTAAAGATTTCTGCCTCCTCCCCGCCACTGCCTCCCATTTCCCTCCCCCCGATTACAATTTCTTTTTTAAAAGAAAAAAATAATACTTTTACTTTATGTCAGGAACCAACCTCGACAAAAAATACCTCTTGCCAGGATAGAGGCATGGGGATTTAGAAATATAATAAAGAACATGAAGACGCAGCCCAGGTGGTGGTGGTGCACGCCTTTAATCCCAGCACTATGGGAGGCAGAGGCAGGTGGATGTTTGTGAGTTTGAGGCTGACCTGGTCTACAAGAGTTAGTTCCAGGATAGGCACCAAAAAACTACAGAGAAACCCTGTCTCAAAAATCCTAAATAAATAAATATGAATAATATGAAGATGCAAATGAAAATAATAAAACAGAGAAACATATAGGATTATATCAGGAGGGAATTCCAGTGAGTACTGAAAATTGGCCTGCTTTAATTTCCAACTGCTTAAAATACCCCTGAACCCAAAAGGTAGGAGTAAGACAAAAAACTACATTTACACTATATAAGGAAATGAACATACCAATTGAAGGTCATGGGCTACATTCATAGTTAAGCATTGTATTGCTAGAACAAGTCACCCTCACACTAAAACATTCTGTAGGCAAACCACTCCCTGTGTGGAATCCAAAGTTACCTCCTTAAGGGAACTGGAACTTAATTGGATCCTCAGACTTTCCTCTATTCCTGAAATGCAAGATCTGGCTATTCACCACACCTGTTGACAACAACCTTGAGAGCAGAACTCTCTGTTCTAAGTCTAGGTGGGACCTTTATTTGAGGTAACATAATAACTTTGAAGGACTAGAGTTAAGTTCAAACTCTCGGACCTTTGGTCAACGTGGAAATAGGCTCACATTTTTGGGCCTCCACAACTTTGTGTTTATGTATATATTTGCAGTGCTGGAGATTCAGTCTGGAGCCTTGCACATGCTAGGTAAGTTCTGTGCCCCTGAGCTGTATTCCTAGCTTGTTTTCTGGGTTTCATTTCAAGACAGTTTCTACTTTACCCAGGCAGACCTTGAACTAGACATCTTGTCTCAGCTTCCTAAGTAGCTAGGATTACAGGCCTGTGTCACTAAACCCATTAAAACAAATTTCAATTATGATAACAAATCCATAAATTCTATTCTTAACTATGTCAAAGCTTGTAGTGCAGTAAGTTGAGTATATTCTTCTTGTTATGCAGCCTGATTAGCCCTGGTGCTCAGTACAGTGACAAGTGTTGTAGCGATTTCCCCCATTTCCTGGGAGTTTACTTCTTTCTCCCCGCTCCACTCTTTTTCTTCCAAGACAGGGTTTCTCTGTGTAGGTAGCCCTGGCAGTCCTGGAACTTGTAGATCAGGCTGGCCTCAAACTCACAGAGATCCACCTGCCTCTGCCTCCTGAGTTCTGGGATTAAAGGCATGCACCACCACCACCACCAGGCTGTCAGGAGTGTAGGAGTGTTCTTGACAGATGTGAGTTCTGGGTACATATGTTTTTTAAAACAGGATATTTCTTTTTTTAAAAAAAAAACTTTATTTAACTTCATTTCATGCACATTGGTATAGCGATGTCAGATTCTCTTGAACTGGAGCTACAGACAGCTGTGAGCTGCCATGTGGGTGCTGGGAATTGAACCCGGGTCCACTGGAGGAGCAGTCAGTGCTCTTAACCACTGAGCCATCTCTCCAGCCCCCAAAACAGGATATTTCTTATTCACATTTAAAAGTGATCGCTTAGCTTTCTAGAATTTTCTCTAAATATAGCTAATTAGGTCAACTGAAAGAAAATTAGTCTGACCACTCTTTCTTTCTTAAATTATGGTGGCAGGCAGTATCAACCTACTGTGTCACCTCACAGTGAAACAGCTCCAATTCCAGTTCCTACTCAAGTAAGGAATTATCAGCGCATAGAGCAGAATCTTATATCCACTGCCAGCTCTGGCACAAATCCACATGGTTCTCCAAGGTAAGCCAGTGTCTTTTTTCTTTTTATTTTTTTAATAGGTTTTGTTGTTGTTATTGAGACTCAAAGGTTATTTGTATTTAACATTACACACATGTATTTGCTAAGAATATAATTACTGAGAAAGAACTTGGGCTGGTAATGTATCTCTCAGTTACAGAATGTTTACCCACCACCATTCACATTCAATCCTTCATTCAATCCCAAACACTGTATAAACCAGGCAAGAGGGTGCATTCCTGTAACCCTAGCCTTTGAGAGCTGAAAGCAGAAGATCAGAAATTCAAAGCTGTCCTAACTATAGTAATTTCAAGGCCATCCCAAGCTATATGAGCTCTTGTCTCAAAACACAAAACCGTCATAGACAACAATGAGGATCCCGAGAGAGACATACAAGGGTCTAATCTACAGGGGAAGTAGAAAAAGACAAGCTCTCCTGAGTAAATTGGGAGCATGGGACCATGGGAAAGGGCTGAAGGGGAGGGGAAAGGCAGGGAGGGGAGCAGAGAAAAATGTGGATCTCAATAAAATCAAATAAAAAAAATTTTAAAAACCCACAAAGCCAACAACAAAAACCAGCCAGTTTTGGTGGCACACACCCTTTAACCCTGGAAAAAGAAAGAGGCAAATGGAACTTTGAATTCAAGGCCAGCCTGGGCTGCATAGTAGGTTCCAGGCCAGCCAGGGCTACACAGTGAGACCCTATCTCAAAATAAAACCAGAAAAAAGAAAGAACTTGTTTAATAAATAGTATTTCTGGTGTGTTGGATCATGACTGTAATCCCATCACGTGAGAGACCAAAGCAGGAAGATTAACAATTTGAGGCTACTCTGGGGTACAGTGAATCTCTCTGTCTCGAAAGAGAAAATAAATAGGAAAGAAGACTTTCAGTTTCAGCCAATTTTTTTATGTCTTGTGTACTTGTTCTACATCTGATACCACACACACCCCCAAAGGTAATAGTAAAAAGACTAACTCCACGTAAAATAATAAAATGTTCCATAGTGACAGATGTCACTAAATTTCTAGAAAAGAAAGATGATGGAAGAATTCCTACTTCCTCACAGCAAAAGTGTGCATGAAATCAGGATTCTGCCAGAACGGAAATCATTGCACCCTATAGAGGTCTAAATCTCAGAGAAATCAGGTTAGCATGGAAGGAGGAAATAACACTGTAATTCTGGCAACTTGTTATTAATGTATGTGTACATAGTCAGATACATATTCTCCGTAAACAGGCTTTGTATATGACATAGCTTATTGTTACAATACCAAAAGGTGAGAAATAAGCTGTGTCCACCAGTGTTTCCATGCTGATTTATTGTAGTCCCTCTATGACAATAGAAAGCTATGCACATTCTATTCCAGATGAGTAAGGAAGCTAAGTCTGACACAACAAAGTTTCCAAGTTTAATATAAAATGAAAAAAGTGTGATTTTTTTTAATCCAGGCAGTGATGGTACAGGTTCTTAATCCCAGCAATCAGGAGGCAGAGGCAGTCAGATCTCTGTGAGTTCAAGGCCAGCCTGGTCTACAAAGTGAGTTTCAGAACAGCTAGGGCTGTTACACAAAGAAACCCTGTCTCCAAAAACAAAGAGTGTTGTTTTTAGATCTCTTCATAGAGCTCATAGTCAAAACTGCTTGATAATAAGTAAGCATAGAATATAGTTTGCTTTTCTCAGTGTGTTGGTGTATGCATTAATGGTGAAGAAAGCAAAAATGAACAAAACTGCTTATGTCCTAACATGAATAAGGTAATGACTTATAAGTGTAGTGTTAGTCTTTGTGATCCTTACAGCACATATGAAGAATGTCCTCAACAACTCAGCAAAAGCTAGTCTTTGAAAAATCACAACCCTAGGGTTGGTAGGCTACTCATATGCTAATAAAGCACATTTGTAGTATATTAGATACTTACTTGCCTTAGGTTAAACATTGCATGATTGGACTGCCAGCTAAACTAGCCCCCTTTTCACTGAGCACTCTTTATTTTAAAGAATGAGAAACTATGGTATGGGAGTAGAGCAGCCATTTTGTCAGAAATGAACTAAGTTTTTCTACTTGGAAGAAAACAATGAGGATAAAAACAATAATGAGTTTTCAAACAAAACCAGACCTCTGGAAAACATACTCACCACTGTAATGCTGACAGGTATTGTTAGTTTTTGCTCTGATATTTCTGTATGATTGGTGACATTTTTTAGATTTATTTTTATGCGTGTGAATGTTATGCCTGCATGTATGTTTGTGCCCCACTCATGTGCCTAGATATCCTTGGAGGTCAGGCGAGAGTGAAGGTGTTGGGTCCCTTACAACTGGAGTACAGATGGTTGTGAGCTTCCGTGAGGGTGCTTATACTTGAACTCCTGTCCATAGCAAGAGCAAACAATGCACTAAACCACTGAGCTATCTTTTCAGCTCCGTAGCAGTGACGTTTTGGTACGAATGTGGCCCTTGTTGTGTAATGTGTCAATATTTGGGTTATCTGCATAGTCAGTGGAACAATGTTGTCCAAATTGTGGTAAAATGGTGCACATATTTATTCAAAGAGCCAATACTTTTCAGAAGAATGAACTTCAATGTTAGAGCACAATATTCATGGATAGTTTCACATTGTGGCTGATTCTTTAGATATCACTGCTTGCTTAGTATCAAAGAAGAATATCACTGTTATCTTGAAAAGGCTACCAAAATATTTTTGCTTTTTTTAGGACATACCTGTGTAAATTTGTCTTCTTTATATACTTCATCCAAAATAACATAGTGAATAACAATTTGATTGCAGAAACAATATAAAAATCCAAATGTCTTCTATTAAGCAGAGTATTAGAGATTTTTCAGAAGTGTAAAATACCATGCTTCTCTTTAAAATACTTTCTTGGAAAATATATTTACCTTTTGTAATCTTAGGTTAAATATAATATGTTCATTACTTTTTAATTTAAAAAATTTGTTTATATATAATAAGTAACAATCTGTAGAAGTTAATAAAAGCTGTCTGGAAACTAAGTAGTTTTTCAGAGGATAAAAGAAACGACCTGAGTCAGATTGACAGTGGTTAATATGTCACGTATTACTCAGTGGTTAAAAGCTGATAGTAATGTTATGAATTCAGGGCATTAGTGAACTCTGGAAGGATACACCAGAAACTAAGAATAGTGGAGAAGCATGAAGGATTTGGTGGAAGAATAGAGAGGAAACTTTATCATTTTACTACTACTTTTTTTTTTCTCCCGGAGACCAGATCTTGTCATGTAGTCCTGAAACTCACTATGTAGACCAGGCTGTCATGGAACTCATTTCACATGCCTCAGCCTCCCAAGTTTTATAATTAAAGGCATGTGCTATCACACCTGGTTCATTTTACATTTTTTATTTTTGTTCCTTGTAACCATTATGTGTTATATGTTTAAAAACTATTCTACATGGAGTGTTGTCGGAAGTTGTCAGAAATAAAGTTCTGTTCTGGGTCCTATCAGATAGGAAATAATTCTCTTTTTTCTTTTCAGATCTGCAGTGGTACGAAGGTCTAACACCAGCCCCATGGGCTTCCTCCGGGTCGGGTCCTGCTCTCCTGTACCAGCAGACACAGTGCAGACAGGAGGACGAAGACTCTCGACTGGCTCTTCCAGGCCTTACTCGCCATCCCCTTTGGGTGAGGAAAATTGAATGCAATCATCTTTAACCTGATTTTCTGTGTAATAAATTGGATAGTGCACACTCTCAAGGAATATGGAGTCATGATAACAGTGCTTTTAAGCTGATTATATGACATACTCTAACCTTTGTACTGTATCCTACTCCCGACTTCATCTTAAAAATCTCTGTATTGGCCAGACCGTGTGATGCATACCTTTAATTCCAGCACTCAGGAGGCAGAGGCAGGTGGATCTTTGTGACTTTGAAGTCAACCTGGTGTACAGAGTGAGTCCCAGGACAGCCAAGGCTATACAGTGAAACTCTATCCTGAAAAATCAAAATAAATAAATAGATAAATAATATAAGCAAGTAAATAAACAAACAATCTGCATTGGAACCTGGGGGATGGCTCAACAGTTAAAGTGCTTGTCAGGTGAGCCTGCATACTGGAGTTCTGACCCCCAGAACCCACAAAAATGCTGGGTAGTTTTGGTGAGCTACCTGTAATCCCAGCCTTGGAAGGCGAAGGAAATCCCCCCCTGCTTCTCCCTAGCAAGCAGATAACTACTGGATCTGATTGAGAGACTGTGCTTTGAAGAATAAGGAGGAAGAGTGATCAAGAGAGACACACAGAGAAAAGAAAAAAAATCTCTATAATCAGTATGATGACAGTTGGAAATATAAATTTATCTTTTATTTCAAAAGTATCCTCGGGGGCTGGAGAGATGGCTCAGAGGTTAAGAGCATTGCCTGCTCTTCCAAAGGTCCTGAGTTCAATTCCCAGCAACCACATGGTGGCTCACAACCATCTGCAATGAGGTCTGGTGCCCTCTTCTGGCCAGCATGCATACACACAGACAGAATATTGTATACATAATAAATAAATATTTAAAAAAAAAAAAGTATCCTCATCTTCTGGTTAGCCTAAGCCATGGATTAAATTACATCAAATGTTTCCCGATTTAACACTCAAATGAGCGAAAACTAGTTAAAATACAACAGTCCTGGATCACATTGACCAAAAGCTTTCTGGCTCAGAGTGGTAATATGTCAGCAGCTTTGTTACAGATCCTTCTACTTTCCCTTGGTGGTTGTTTCAGAAAGCCTAAAACAAAGAAAATACCAGAAACTACAGCAAACAGAAAAATAAACTACATTCTATGTGAAATTAAGAAACACATTTCTGAGGTCGGGCATGGTGGCGCACACCTTTAATCCCAGCACTCAGGAGGCAGAGACAGATGGATCTCTGTGAGTTCAAGGCTAACCTGGTCTACAAGAGCTAGTTCCAGGATAGGCTCTAAAACTACAGTGAAACCCTGTCTCAAAGAAAAAAGAAAGAAAGAAACACATTTCTGAAGTCAGAATACGTAAGGAAGGCCAAAGTACCTAGGTCTGTAGTATCTCCTGCTCAGAATACCAGGATGGTATGTGGTCATCTGTAGTCAGAATCCAGATACTCACTGACCCTGTTTTTAAGTTTGGGGACTGAGAAGATGGTTCAGTGGGTAAAGTGCTTTTCATGTAAGCATGAAGGTCTGAATCTGAATCCATGTAAAAGCAGTGTGCTTCTGTAACCCCAGCCCTGGGGGAAGGCAGGGCAAATTGGCCAGCCAGTGAGCCCCAGGTTCAATAAGAGACCATGTCTCAAAAAGCAAGGAAAAGAGTGATAGAAGACAGCCAGAATTAACCTTTGGCATCCACATTCATGCACCACACAAAACAAAAAAATTTAAGAGCCTCATCATCCATTCTGTTTTTAGTTAAAAAAAATTTCAAACCAAATCTTGGCCTCGTTTCACTCTTATAGGTGCCACTAGAATGTGCTATGGTCTGCAAAGACAAGATCCAAACCGTACCTTTTTTTTACTGATATTTATTTATTTATTTATTTATTTATTTATTTATTTATTTATTTTTTGTTTTTTCGAGACAGGGTTTCTCTGTGGCTTTGGAGCCTCTCCTGGAACTAGCTCTGTAGACCAGGCTGGTCTCGAACTCACAGAGATCCGCCTACCTCTGCCTCCCGAGTGCTGGGATTAAAGGCGTGCGCCACCACCGCCCGGCTTTTACTGATATTTATTGAACTCTACATTTTTCTCTTCTCCCCTCCCCCTTCAACCTTCCCCCAAGGTCCCCATGCTCCCAATTTACTCAGGACATCTTGTCCTTTTTATACTTTCTACTTCCCATGTTGATTATATCTACATATGCCTCTCTTAGCATCCGCATTGTTGTCTAGGTTCTCTGGGATTGTGGTTTGTAGGCTGGCTTTCTTTGCTTTATGTTTAAAAACCACCTATGAGTGAGTACATGTGATAATTGTCTTTCTGTGTCTGGGTTACCTCACTCAAAATAATGTCTTCTAGCTCCATCCATTTTCCTGCAAAATTCAAAATGTTATTTTTTTCTGCTGTGTAGTACTCCATTATGTAAATGTACCACTTTTCCTTATCCATTCTTCGGTCAAGGGGCATTTAGGTTGCTTCCAGGTTGTGGCTATGACAAACACAGCTGCTATGAATGTAGTTGAGCACATGTCCTTGTGGCACAATTGAGCACCCTTTGGATATATTCCCAAAAGTGGCATTACTGGGTCTTGAGGAAGGTTGTTTCCTAATTTTCTGAGAAATCGCCACACTGACATCCAAAGGGGTTGTAGTACCAGCTCGCATTCCCACCAGCAATGCAGAAGTGTTCCCTTTTCTCTACAACCTTTCTATCATAAGTTGTCATCAGTGTTTTTGATCTTGGCCATTCTTTCAGGGGTAAGATGGAATCTCAGAATTGTTTTGATTTGCAGTTCTCTGATGGCTAAAGATGTTGAACATTTCCTTAAGTGTCCTTCAGCCATTTTAGATTCCTCTGTTGAGAGTTCTCTGTTTAGGTCTGTACTCCATTTTTTTATTAGATTATGTGTTCTTTTGGTGTCCAGTTACTTGAGTTCTTTGTATATTTTGGAGATCAGACCTCTGTCTGATGTGGGGTTAGTGAAGAGCTTTTTCTCATTCGGTAGGCTGTCGTTTTGTCTTTTTGACCATGTCCTTTGCTTTACAGAGACTTTTCCGTTTCAGGAGGTCCCATTTATTGATTGTTTCTCTCAGTGTCTGTGCTGCTGGGGTTATATTTAGGAAGTGGTCTCTGTGCCACCAAACCTTATATTTAAAGCTGAAAGAAATGGCTCAGAGGTTAAGAGCACTGGCTGCTCTTCCAGAGGTCCTGAGTTCAATTCCAAGCCCCATATGGTGGCTCACAACCATCTGTAATGAGATCTGGTACCCTCTTCTGGCCTGCAGGCATACATGCAGACAGAGCACTTTATACATAATAAATAAACTGGAAAAAAATCTGAAAGCACTCATTGCTTTAATACTTGGACAGAGCCCTTTCCTGTTGTAGACATGTCTTATGTCTATGTAAACACCCTGAAACTTCTTGCTCCTGGCAGTTTGTATTCATAGTAAGATAGATGAAAAGAAGGTATTGTATATCCAGTAGATTGCTTGGAGAACCACCTGTAAAGGCTAAGGGGAAGGTCAAGAGGAAGCAGCGAATACTTCAGACCAAAGTACAGATTTGACACCTGGAAGAGGAGGGAAAAAAAATCAGGAAAGAAGAGTCTCAGACTATAGCAAAGCCTAAAAATTTTTGTCCAGACTACAAGAATAGCCCTGAAGTACTGAGCTGTCAGATGAATTTCCATGACCTGTTCAACAGACCTAAATGTCAGGAACCTGACCTCAGCACCAGTGTGATATGTAAGGACTGCAGCTGGAGCCTGCAACTCCACAAGCCACACATTTATCCAAATTCTGGTACTTACGCTACGACGACATACCTGTTGGGGGCATTTATTTGTTTTATGGTTATATAATACTTTTAAAATCTTACCCTTCCTGACACCTTTTAGATATATTAAACACTGATTAGATATATTAAATCTTTTACAATTAGAATTATGTAAACTGCTACAGATTAAGCAGTTGGTGTGTGTTGCCCATTTCTATCCTTTATTGTTTAAAATGAAAATTCTTCTTCTTTGTTTCATTTCTAGTCGGTACCATTCCTGAACAGTTTAGTCAGTGCTGTTGTGGGCATCCTCAGGGCCATGAAGCCAGGAGTAGACACTCCTCAGGTAGGAAAATATATTTATTATGAGTCAATTTGAGTTATACTTTGCAGCCTTATTCAAAGAACAGAATTGCTATGAAATATTCCTTATCCTATACTGTTTTTTTTTAGAATTTTTGTCTAATGTTTCTAATATGTCATATATCTAGTATATGACATATTAAAGATTTCTTTAAGGCCGGGTGGTGGTGGCACACGCCTTTAATCCCAGCACTTTAATCCCGGGTGGAGGCAGAGGCAGGCAGATCTCTGTGAGTTCGAGGCCAGCCTGGTCTACAAGAGCTAGTGCCAGAACAGGCTCCAAAGCTACAGAGAAACCCTGTCTCGAAAAATTAAAAAAAAAAAAAAAGATTTCTTTATAATTAACCTTAAGAAACTAAGGGGCTGGGTATGTAGCTCAGTTGATGAAGTATTTGCCTAGCATGTACAAAGCCTTAGGTTCTGTCCTCAGCACCATATAAAGCCATGCCTATAATCCCAGAACTCTGTGTTATTAGAAGTTCAAGGACATCCTCAGTTAAATAGCAAGTTAGAGGCCAGCATGGGGTATTAACACTGTCTCAAAAAAAGAAAGGAGGGAAGAAAAAATATATGTGTGCGTGTTTCTATTGTTGTATTAGATAATGCATATTCATAGAAAGGTACATGTAAATCACACTTTTTATAAGTCACTTTACTGTGTGAACATGTAATGAGTTGAATAATTAAAGAAATCCCATATTATTAAAATTTTCACTCATTTTGTTTAATTTTTTAATTTTCTTTAAAGGAACATTTAAATAAATTTCCCTGATCATGACATTTACTACAAATTTTACTTTTCTATTTATTTAAGCTTATTTTTATAAAAAAATAGAATAATGAGGGGCTGGTGTGATGTCTCTGGTTTAGAGCACTGTCTTCTCCAGTGGTTCTGAGTTAGTATCCGATGCCCTCTTCTGGCATGAAGGTGTATTTGCAGATAGAACACTCATACATAAAATATATAATTTTTTTTAAGTAGAGTAATGTTCTTAATAATAAATGTCAGGTTTGGAATGAAAGCAAGCAGGAATGGTCAGTAGCAAAACTATAATTGTTTTTGTTTATTTATTTTTTTTGGGGGGGGGTTGTTTGTTTGTTTTTTGAGGCAGGGTTTCTTTGTACCTTTGGAGCCTGTCCTGGAACTAGCACTTGTAGACCAGTCTGGCCTCGAACTCACAGAGATCCGCCTGCCTCTGCCTCCCGAGTGCTGGGATTAAAGGCATTCGCCACCACCACCCAGCTGTTTATTTTGTTGTTGTTGTTGTTGTTGTTGTTGTTTTGTTTTATTTTTTAAAAAAACAGGGTTTCTCTATTTAGTGCAGGCTGTCTTGGAATTCTCACTGTGTAGACTAGGCTGACCTCAAACTCACAGAGTACTAGGATTAAAAGCATGCACCATCATGCTCAGCCTCCAATTGATATTTTTTATGTTGTTGTAGTTGTTGGAGGTTTTATTATTTAATTGGGTTTTTTGTTTACTTGTTTGAGATAGGGTCTTGTTATATAGTACCAGGATGGCTTTAAGCTTGAGATCCTCCTACTTTAGCCTCCTGACTATGGGACAGCAAATGTGTACCACCAAACCTGGTTTGGTGTCAGATTGGATACTGGGGATACTTGCATACTCTTAATGTTATTAGTAATAATTTGGTTTGCAAGAAACTCCAGAGAGTGTCTTAGTGGAACTTAAGTATTAGTGATCTTCGCTGGACAACAACATGATTTGTGTGGAAAAGGGATGCCTAGTCTCGTAGGTGTATTTCTCAATCAGCATGGAGGGCAAGGGCCCACACCTGAGGTTGTTCTCTGGCCTCCACATGTACTCCATGAGACACTCACTATCCTTGGACACATGTGGATTGCCTTTTTCATTTCCTGTGTTTTATCTGTGCACTTCTCTGCAGGTTTTAATGTTGCCTTCATTTTGTTGATAGGTTCTCCAGTGCCACAGACCCAGTCACCACAGTCACTCTTGCTGGGTGCTAGACTACAGAGCGCCCCCACCCTCACTGATATCTATCAGAACAAGCAGAAGCTCAGAAAACAGCACTCTGACCCCGTGTGTCCATCGCATGCAGGAGCTGGGTATAGTTACTCACCTCAGCCTAGTCGGCCTGGCAGCCTTGGAACCTCTCCCACCAAGCACATGGGGTCCTCTCCACGGAGTTCTGACTGGTTCTTTAAAACTCCTTTACCAACAATCATTGGTTCTCCTACTAAGGTGTGTTTCTTAAGCTCTTTTATAAGAATAGTTATAATCGTAGTGAATAGTCACTGGGTTGAGTGCTTTCCTTTCCGAAAAGGAAGTTAGTCCTTAAAGAGCTTAAAGGAACAGCCCATATTATAAACATCATATAACACATCACTCATAAATACAAAGCCAGTATTTGAATCCACATCTAAGTCCCAAATCTATACTCATGTCCAGTGTACCATATATCCTGTTGGTTCTGAACATTTTATAATACATCGTATTAACTAGCTTTTATATGTTTCTTTAGACTACAGCTCCTTTCAAAATCCCTAAAACACAAGCATCTTCTAACCTCTTAGCCTTGGTTACTCGTCATGGGCCTGTTGAAAGCCAGTCCAAAGATGGAAATGACCCTCGTGCATGTACCCATTGCCTCTTAGTCCAAGGAAGTGAGAGGCAACGATCTGAGCTACAGAGCAAGGCAGTATTTGGCAGGTAAAAGACTAATGAAAACTAATTCATAAATCACTGTATTCTGTTGTAAAAGCAATTAGATACATTAGTAGGTGTTTTATGCCATGTGATTAATAATATGTACCATATACATTTGGAATTAGTTGGGGAGAAAAGGGTTTATTTGGCTTATACTTCCATATTACTGTCCATCACTGAAGAAAGGACAGGAACTCAAACGGCAGAATCCTAGAGGCAGGAGCTGATGCAGAGGCCATAGAGGGTGCTGCTGACTGGCTTATTCCCCATGGCTTGCTCAGCCTGCTTTCTTTTAGAACCCAGGACCACCCGCATAGGGAAAGCCCCACCCACCATGTGCTGATCTCTACCTCCATTGATTACTAATTGGGAAAATCCCCTACAACCAGATCTCATAGAAGCATTTCCTCAAATGGGGCTCCTTCCTGTCTGATGACTCTAGTTTATTATAGTTTATTATCAAGTTGATACCCAAACCAGCCAGTACAGAGCTCTTCCTGAGTTTCTTAAGTAAACCATTTCTTTTATTTTTGTTAGAGAAGTCAGTCTATATGCCGAAGTATTCTTTGGTTTTGTTTTTTTTTTTTTGGTTTTTTGAGACAGGGTTTCTCTGTGGTTTTGGAGCCTGTCCTGGAACTAGCTCTTGTAGACTAGGCTGGTCTCGAACTCACAGAGATCCGCCTGCCTCTGCCTCCCGAGTGCTGGGATTAAAGGCGTGTGCCACCACAGCCCGGCTCTGCCGAAGTATTCTTTATCAGTTTTAAAAGGTGCTTTCCTATTACTCACATCACTGTTCTTTTTAGATCTGTCAGTACTGGGAAGTTATCAGACCAGCAAGTAAAGGTGCCATTAGGTGGACACCAGGGCAGCACGGATAGTTTAAATACAGAACGACCAATGGATATAGGTAAGAAAATGTTCTTAATTTGTCAACAGGTAATTTGTTAGCATATGCATAATTTATTACTTTATAATAAAGTGTCACAAGCTTGATGGCTTAAAACAACACAAATACATATTTTTATATAGTTGTAGAGGTCATTCTTTCATCTCATTTGCCTTTTCAATACCCATCCAAACAAATCTTACTCAGTAAATTGATGAGCAATACTCTATGATTCGAAGATTTGTGTCCAAAATGTTATTGTTGGTAGGATTTTCCTGGCTGAAGTTAGCCTAAATACAATACTCCCAAACTTTTTTTTTTTTTAAATAGCAGCTGAATCCCAGAAAGATACAGTTACTAAGGCCCCTGGACCTTTCAGAGTTGCTCCAGAATTTATATATATTGAGCACTCCTTTTGAGATTATCTGAACTGTTTATACAAAAATAAGAAAATTAAAAACAAACAAACAGAAAAACCACCAGTGAGATTTCATATCCTTACCCCAAGGTTGTTTGCAGTTAAAATTTCTGGAATGTATTCTAGGCATCCCTAAGTATTATATATACCCACATTTTGCAGTCAATCATAATCTTGTTTTCTCTAGGTTCTTTTGTTTGGGTTTGTTTTGTTTTGTTTTGTTTCTTTGAGACGGGATCTCTTTTCATAGCCCTGGCAGTCCTGAAATTCACTACGTAGATGATGCTGGCCTAGAATTCAGAGACCCACTTGGCCTTTGTCTCCTGAATGTACTAAAATTAAAGGCGTGTGCCACCATGCCCAGCTACCATGCCCAGCTCCCTATTGTCTTTATTACATTCTAAAAAATATCTGGACAGGGCTAGAGAGATGGCTCAGTGGTTAAGAGCACTGACTGTTCTTCCCGAGGTCTCCGGTTCAATTCCCAGCACTCACATGGCAGCTCACAACTGTCTGAAAATCCAGTTCCAGGGAATCTGACACCTTCACACCAATGCACATAAAATAAAGTTAAATAAACCATAAAAAAATTTAAAAAATATCTGGGCCAACAAATTACCTCATTTGATTTGTTCTCTAGTCTGAAGAGAACAACTCTAAAGACCGTAGGCGTTAATATGTCACTTCATTCTGATCTTGCTATGCAGTGTCTGAAGAGAAGGACCGTGGAATCTCACAGTAGTTGTTATGTTGTCTTTTTCTTTTTAACTTAAGAATGTCTTTGGACTAGAACACGTCCTGTGTAGATGTATAAAGTTGGATATTGAATTTTTTTTTGAGACAGACTGTCACTGTGCAACCCTGCCTGGCCTAGAACTTACTAGATAGGCCAGACTGGCCTCAAATTTGTGGTTATTCTCTGGCCTCTGCCTCTAGAGTTCTGGGATTGCATGTGTGCTACTACACTCTGCCCTTGTTCCATCTTTACTGCTTTCTTGTGATTAGTTTCATGTCACATTTTGATTCCCTTAATGGTGTTTTTTAACTGTTTAGTTTTTAATGATTGCCTTAGGACTTACCATATATTTTCACCATCAACTTGAAATTTACACTAACTTGATTCTAGTAACGTATAGAAATATTATTCCTCTTGGGGATTGTACAAGCAAGGAGGGGGGTCAAGATCATGATCAGGAGCTTATGGACTGTACCAACAGCTAGAGAGCCTACATGGGATCAACCTAGTCCTTCTCTATGTTGATAACAATGTGTAACTGTAGGGATAAGTCCAAGTCCAGCCCATTGGGGGCGTGTTCGCCTCAGGCTAATGTTTACCTATGAAGCCGCCCCTTCTGCTTCCTGTTCTCCTCCGTGGAAACCGTGGTACTGTAAGTCTATTTCTACATTAAAGCTGTATATATTTTTTACAATCTGTCTGCATTCATTTTACGCGCTACATGTAACTTGGTCTGTTTATGGGGGTCCCCAGCAGTAGGACCAGGATCTGTCCCTGGCTTTTTGGAATCTATTCCCCATGCAGGGATATCTCACCAAGCCTTGATGGAGGGATGGAGCGTAGTCCTGCCTCAATGTAATATGAAATGCTTGACATGTTGACTCCCCTGGGAGGCCTGCCCCTTTCTGAATATAGAAGGAGTGGATGGGGGATAGATGGGAGGTAGGAGGAGGCAGTAGGAAGAGAGGAAGGAAGGGTAACTGTGGATGGTATGTAAAATAAATGAAAAAATTAATAAAAAATTACTCCTCTTAAGTACTAATTTCCATTTCCTTTCTTAGTGCCATCATTGTTACTCTACACGTATAAGAAAATGTGATATTTTTTTAGATTTTATTTTTATGAATATGAGTGTTTGCTTGTGTGTTTATATGTGTACCACCTTTGCCAGGTGCCCGTAGAGGCCAGAAGAATATGTTAGAGCCTCTGGAACTAGACTTAAAGATGTTTAGTTCCCAGCACCCCCTTGGGGCCTGACAACCACCAATAACTCCAGATTCAAGGTATTTTCTGACCTTCTGGGGTTCTTGTCATGTGCACAGACAGATATACACATAATTGGAAATAATAAAATATTCTAAATTACAATTTTTAAATATTATAAAAAACAAGCTGTGTCCATCAAAATCCAAGCAAAATTCTTCAAAGACCTCGACAGAACGGTACTCAACTTCATTTGGAAAAGCAAAAAACCCAGGAATAGCCAAAACAATCCTGTGCAATAAAAGAACTTCTGGAGGCATCACAATCCCTGACTTCAAACTCTACTACAGAGCTACAGTACTGAAAACAGCCTGGTACTGGCATAAGAACAAACAGGATGACCAATGGAACTGAATAGAAGACCCGGATATCAATCCACACATCTTCGAACACCTGATTTTTGACAAAGAAGCAAAAAAATATCAAATGGAAAAAAGAAAGCATATTTAACAAGTGGTGCTGGCATAACTGGATATCAACATGTAGAAAAATGAAAATAGACCCATATCTATCACCATGCACAAAACTCAAGTCCAAATAGATCAAAGACCTCAAAGCCAGCCACACTGAACCTTATAGAAGAGAAAGTGGGAAGTACACTTGAACGCATTGGCACAGGGAACCACTTCCTAATATAACCCCAGCAGCACAGACACTGAGAGAAACAATCAATAAATGGGACCTCCTGAAACGGAAAAGCTTCTGTAAAGCAAAGGACACAGTCAACAAGACAAAACGACAGCCTACAGAATGGGAAAAGATCTTCACTAACCCCACATCAGGCAGAGATCTGATCTCCAAAATATATAAAGAACTCAAGAAATTGGACACCAAAAGAACATATAATCTAATAAAAAAAATGGAGTACAGACCTAAACAGAGAACTCTCAACAGAGGAATCTAAAATGGCTGAAGGACACTTAAGGAAATGTTCAACATCCTTAGTCATCAGAGAAATGAAAATCAAAACAACTCTGAGATTCCATCTTACACCTGAAAGAATGGCCAAGATCAAAAACACTGATGACAACTTATGATAGAAAGGTTGTAGAGAAAAGGGAACACTTCTGCATTGCTGGTGGGAATGCGAGCTGGTACTACAACCCCTTTGGATGTCAGTGTGGCGATTTCTCAGAAAATTGGGAAACAACCTTCCTCAAGACCCAGTAATACCACTTTTGGGTATATATCCAAAGGATGCTCAATCGTGCCACAAGGACATGTGCTCTCAACCATGTTCATAGCAACTTTGTCATAGCCAGAACCTGGAAACAACCTAAATGCCTCTTGACCGAAAAATGAATAATAAAAAAAATGTGGTGCATTTACAAATGGAATACTACACAGCAGAAAAAATAACAATAGCTTGAATTTTGCAGGAAAATGGATGGAGCTAGAAGACATTATTTTGAGTGAGGTAACCCAGACACAGAAAGACAATTATCACATGTACTCACTCATAGGTGGTTTTTAAACATAAAGCAAAGAAAGCCAGCCTACAAATCACAATTCCAGAGAACTTAGACAACAATGCGGATGCTAAGAGAGGCATATGTAGATATAATCAACATGGGAAGTAGAAAGTATAAAAAGACAAGATGTCCTGAGTAAATTGGGAGCATGGGGACCTTGGGGGAAGGTTGAAGGGGAGAGGGGAGAAGAGAAAAATGTAGAACTCAATAAATATCAATTAAAAAAAGGAAAAAAAAGAAAAAAAACTCAGCATGTAGGAAGCACCACCTGCCTCCCCCCAAAAAAGTTGAGTTAATAAAAAGTTAATTTACATTAATATTTCAGTACATTCTTTTCTTTTTTTTTTCTTTTCTTTTCTTTTTTTTTTTTTTTTTTTTGGTTTTTCGAGTCAGGGTTTCTCTGTGGTTTTAGAGCCTGTCCTGGAACTAGCTCTTGTAGACCAGGCTGGTCTCGAACTCACAGAGATCCGCCTGCCTCTGCCTCCCGAGTGCTGGGATTAAAGGCGTGCGCCACCACCGCCCGGCCAGTACATTATTTTCTTATTTACCATTTTTGGTTGTAAAGTTACTTCTGTGGATTTGAGTTTCCATCTAATGTTATTTTTTTACTCAGATATAGCTTTGTTCTCATCTCTATTCTTTATGTTATTAGGAAATAAATTACAACAACAGAATTATATGTTATTCTTCTTTTAGATTTATTTTGTTTTGTGTATATGAATGTTTTACCTTCATGTATTTATGTGCATTATGTTTGTGCGTGTTGCACATGGGATACAAATGGTCGTGAGTCACCATGTGAGTTTTGGAAACCAAACTCAGGTTCTCTGCAAGAGCAGCAAATGCCCTTAACTGCTGAGGCATCTCTCTAGCTCCATGCATGTTATTTTTACAAAGTTACTTTTCAAATCATTTGAGAAAGGAGAAGGAGGGTGTAGTCACACTCTTTAATAATTACATATTTACCTTTATTTAATGCACTTTTATTTCCCCCTCACCTATATGGATTACTTTCTGGGGCCAGTTACTTAAGACTTGAAGAACTTTTCCTTGGTATTTCTTGTCAGAATATCAAATCTGGTAGTCTCAAGCTATTTAGGAATATTTCTTTTACCTTTTTTTTTTTAAAAAAAAATCTGTTCCAGGGAGTAGTGGTGCACACTTTTAATCCCAGCACTCAGGAGGCAGAGGCAGGCAGATATCTTGAGTTCAAGATCAGTTTGATCTACAGAAGGAATTCCAGGATAGGCAGGATTACACAGAAACCATCTCAAAAAAAAAAAGAAAAAAGAAAAAGCTTTTAACAATCTATGTGTATATTCATATTTGTATGTGAAAGTAGAGGCATACATGTAACACTGTGTGTTTAAGTCTGGACACCCTCAGTGCCATTCTTCACCTTCTCCATGTTTGAGATAGTCTCAGGCCACCTAGGCCATGAATTTCCAGGGATTCTTGTGATTCCACCTCCCACTCACCGTAGAAGCATTGGAATTACAGGCATGCTCAGCTTCATGATTGTTCTAAGGATCCAAACTCAGAATAGTATAGCAAGTGCTCTACCCACTGACCCATTTCTCCAATAAGAAATATATCAGTATAACCTCAGGTCAAAGATTTACTCTTTTTATTTTTATGCAAATAAGGCAATAGCCCAACTCTGATTCATTTCTGAGTTTTCTATATAAAATTTTTTAATAACACAATTCTTTATTGAGTCTTTGGGAATTTCACATGTACCCCAATCTTGCTCACCTCCCAGAATCTCAATATCCACCTCTCACCCCTTCAGCGCCCCAAGAAACCCCCCAAATTAACTAAAAATAATACAAACAAACAAAAACCCACCTCTCCTGCCTCTCCAACCCCTCTTCGTTCCTCCTAGTGGTACTGGGAGCTGCGGTGTGTCATGCAGTAAACCCTTTTGTCATTCAGCACTGCCCAGAAATGTTCATTGCAGTGAGTCACTGGTCTGGTTCAAGGCCTCTGGCCTTTGGCACACCATCATCACTGGACCCTCACAACTGTCAGTAACTCCAGTTCCAGGACTTCCAGTAACTCCTTCTGACCTCCAGCAGTTCCTATATGTTCATGTATACAGTCAGGCACACAGTCATGAAATAAAATATTTTTTAAATCTACACCTTAGGGAACTCAGTACAATTACTGTTCGTATTGGGAAGGAAAAAGTTCAGAGTGCAGTGATTAGGAAATGATGTCAGTTTCCAAGTCTCACTACCTCTTCATTATAACACCCTTGTAGTCATAACCATGCTTTTCTAGGCCAGGCTCTGTAATAAACATGTTATTTTCTTGCAGATGATGCATGGTTCCAATTCTAGTTAAGGAACAGGATTAGGAGGTTGTGTCAGATGATGCACACTCTGGTATTATTTAAAGTTACTGCATGTTCTGTGCTCTGTAAATCAAGACAGAAAGCTTCTGATTAGTAAGCTGTGTGCTATGTCTTTTTAGTTACTTTCTTAGAAATAGTTAACCTTGCAGCTTAAGATGCGAAATAGGGAAAGATGGCAACATAAAGCAGTTGCTGACATAGAATGGCATTCATTTCTTAGGCATCTTCAGTTAGAGGTGTTGCTTGGCACTACAATTAATGGGAGACTAGTAACATATTGTTCAGCTTCCCCACCAGGATAGTGTTTTACTGTGTAGCTCCAACTGGCCTGGAACTTATTATGTAGCCCAGATTGTAGTGTTAGGAATTGAACCTACAGCCTTGTCATACCAGGTAATATATTAATATATGTAATATATATATACATATACATACCATTGAGCTCTTTCCTAGTCTTTCAAAATTAATGATTTATAGGGGCTGGAGAGGTAGCTCAGTAGTTGAGTGTTTAGTGTTCATACAGGGACCCAGGTCAGTCCCCAGTACCTACCTGGGGGCTCAAAACTATTCATAACTCTGGGAACAGGGCATCCAGCACCTCTTCTGGTTTCTTTGAGTACCACGCACATGTGCAGTGCACATACATAAGTTTGAGCAGAATACACCTACACTTAAATAACTTCAAAAAAGTAATATATGGACATTTGAAAGCAAGCAAAATGACAGTACTTATTTAGCTATTCCCTTAGTTTAAGATCTATTCTTTGATGTTTATGATTTATATGTAAATATTTTATTGTTTGGTCCCATAAAGATAATAATTTTTAAATGTCTGGCTGTGAAAAGGCTCTGAACTAATCTTGCTGGTTCTGCATGCTTTGGTGGATGGGGTAACTTTTCAGCTACCCTTCATTTAATCCAAAATAACCCACCAGCCCCAGCCTGACTAGTACCTGCTGAACCCCCCCCCCCCCCGCCCCGTTCTTCCTGATAGAACAGAATGTCTAGTCTAAAGGCATAGATACACCTTGTTTAAACTTGGGTGTTTCCCATTTGTGTTGTGTTGTGTTTTGCCTGCATGTGTGTCTGTGTGAGTGCGCCATATCCCTCAGAACTGGACTTACAGATGCTTGTAAGCTGCCGTGTGGGTGCTAGGAACTGATTTTTGTTTTGTTTTTCAAGATATGGTCTCTCTTTGTAGTCTGGCTGTCCTGGAATTGACTCTGTAGATCAGGCTAGTCTCAAATTCACAGAAATTAATCTCTGCCTCTTCCTCCCAAATGCTGGGATTAAAGGCATGCGCTACCACCACCTGGCTGGGTACTAGGAACTGAACCCAAGTCCTCTGGAAGAGCAGCCAGTGCTCTTAACCACTGGACCATTTCTTTTTTGTTGTTGGTTTTTGTTTTGTTTTGTTTGTTTTATTTTTTGTTTTGTTTGTTTTTCAAGACAGGGTTTCTCTGTAGCTTTGGAGCCTATCCTGGAACTAGCATTTATAGACCAGGCTGTCCTCAAACTCACAGAGATCTGCCTGCCTCTGCCTCCCGAGTGCTGGGATTAAAGGTGTGTACCACCACTGCCGGGCTACAGATTTTTTTTTAATTTACTATGTAGCCCTGTCTGCCTGGAATTCACAATGTAGACCAGGCTCTTCAAACTCCTAGAGATCTGTCTGCCTCTGCCTCCCAAGTGCTGGGATTAAAAATATGACCTACCAGCTAGATGGTGGTGGCACACACCTTTAATCCCAGCATTTAGGAAGCAGAGGCAGGTGGATCTCCAAATTTGAGGCCAGCTTGCTCTACAGAGTAAATTCCGGACCAGAGAAGGCTACACAGAGAAACCCTGTCTTGAAAAACCAAATAAATAAATGTGACCTACCACACCCTATTCTTTTTAATTACATTAAGCTTTTAATTTTGCATGTGTATTTATGTAAGTAGGCATGCACATGTCATTGCATGCATGTGGAAGTCAGAGGACAACTTGCCAGAGGCAGTTCTTCTCCCTTCAGGATCTTAGGAGTCAAACTCAGGTCATCAGCTTTGAGGGCAATTTCTCATGCTGACCCAGTTTGATGACCCTTAAAATATTCTTACTGGAAATATATATTGAATGATCATTTTAGAATTAATGTTAGAATTGTAGAATTGATATTAAACAAGCCTGGAGAGGTGGCTCATCAGCTAAAGGACTTACTGCTCTTGCATTGGATATGAGTTTGCCTCCAAGCATCCACCTTAGGCAGCTCACAACTGCCTGTAACTCCAACTCCAAGGGGATCTGATGCTTAGCCTTAGTGGATACCTGTACCCACTTGCATATACTCTATCACACACATACACATAATTTAAAATAATAAAAATAAACATTAAAATTAATATAAAAGCATGTTTCCTAGTTCCATATAGGATACTCTGAATGTAATCTAATATCTGGCTAACTTTTTGTTTTAGCTCCTGCAGGAGCCTGTAGTGTTATGCTGGCATTGCCGGCAGGAACCGCAGCAAGTGCCAGAGCTGTCCTCTTCACTGTGGGGTCTCCTCCACACAGTGCCACAGCCCCTACTTGTGCTCACATGGTCCTTCGAACAAGAACCACCTCAGGTAAGGAGCAGTGTTCTAGTGCATTACATGACTGTTCCGATAAGTGAAATCAGACAAATCACTTTACTTCTCTAGGCTTTGATTTCTGTTCCAGTAAAGTGATTGCAGCTGTTTACCCTCCTTAAAGAGTTATATGTCAGAAGTAAATGAAGCAACATGAAAAGTAAAATTAATATATACTATACCATACTTTACTATATGCTATATACTATATACTATATGGGAGACTGGGGAGGGCTCAGAAGTTAAGAGCACTGGATGCTCTTCCAGAGGTCCTGAATTCAATTCCCAGCAACTACATGGTGACTCACAGCCATCTATGAGACCTGGTGCCTTCTTCTGGTGGGTAGGCATACATGTATGTTTGTATATACATAAAGAGACCATGTTCATATATTCAAATAGAATGAGGAGCCTGGGGATTTTCTTTAAATATTTTCTTTGTCACTTGAATAGGTTATGTTCAGTAAATGAGAAGTTAGTATGAAAGCCCCTTCTGACTATTTGGACATGTGCTACATGTGTTGTTTTTTTGCAGTGGGGTCCAGCAGCTCAGGAGGCTCCTTGTGCTCTGCAAGTGGCCGTGTGTGTGTGGGCTCCCCACCTGGGCCAGGCTTGGGCTCTTCCCCACCAGGAGCAGAGGCAGCTCCCAGCCTGAGATATGTGCCTTATGGTGCTTCACCACCCAGCCTAGAGGGTCTCATCACCTTTGAAGCCCCTGAACTACCAGAGGAGACACTGATGGAGGTAGGGAAGAGATTGCAGGGTGTGTGAATATATTGTTGATCTGATGTGGTGTTCTAACAATGATGAAAGAACAAATTATATCAAATATTTCTGAAATTTCAAAATCCCTTTTTTGTTTTGTTTTGTTTGTTTGCTTGAGACAGGGCCTTACAATATAGCCCTGGATGCCCCAAAACTGTATAGGGGAGGCTGACTTTGAAGTTACCATTGCTAAGATTACAGTTATGCACCACCCATGCCCAACTCGATCTGTAGGAACTTAAAAGATTTTCCCTAGAAACATAATGTTTTATCCTCAGTACTTTCTTTCCTTCGTTAGGTAAAAAGCATCTAAACATAGATTTAAAATGCCAGCCTGCGGACAGTTTGGCTTCTGAGAGGGAGAGGCAGTTTCCTTTAAGGATGTGGCCTCTGTAGCGCCAGTGGATGGCCCACACCCATAAGTATATAGGCAGCACAAATTGAACTTGGTGGGTTATTAAAAAATGTGGACCTAAAGATTATAAGGTAAGGAGGTCATAATAGATCTGGGAGGAGTTAGGGAGAGAATTAGGTAGTTAATATGGCCAAAGTACATTGCATGAACTTCTTTAAAAATTAATAAAAATACTAAATTATAAAGTTAAATAATAATTATGCCAACATGGTGGCACATACCCATAATTCTAGCTCTTAGAAGCTGAGGCAGAAGTGTTTTGAGTTTGAGGTCAACCTGAGCTGCTTAGTAAAACCCTATGTCAATAATAATAGTAACAAGCCATACTACCAGGTTAGTCATTAACACAGAAATATTTCTGCTTAAGCAGACTAGATGCTACACTCATAGATCAGTACTTTCCCTCTGGGGATCCAGTTCTACAGGAAAAACCACAGTGTATGTCATCTGTCCTATGCTGAGCACAAATCTAGGACCAGAGATCATTTTATGATTTTGGAGTTGTATCTCTCAGTTCCTCACTCCAACTTAAGGACAACACTCTATGTATTGGTGAATATAGTCTAATATGCTCTCACAAAACTGAGAGACATTTGGAAATTCTAGTGCTTTGTTCTTCTGTTTGAGAAAAACTTGGGGGTCTGGGGAAGTGACTCAGTAAAGTGCTTACCGCACATGTACAGAAAACTGAAAGTGGGTCCCAGAACCCACATAAAAAAAGACAGACATTGTTATTCTTTTTTAAAGATATAGTAGTGGGGGTCTGTGTGTTTTTTTTTTTAAAGATATAAGTGGGGACAGGGGAAGGCCGGCCCCACAAGGGGTAGCAGTAGGTGAACCAAGGCCACGGCCAGTCCCCTGATGCCTGGCGGGTCACCTTGGTAGGTGGGAGACAGATAACATCATGCAGAGAGAGTTTGGGTATAGAGTTTATTTAGTGGGTTATGGGGAAGAAAGGAAAAGTGGCGGGAGAGAAGGGAGGAGAGTGCAGAAGTTACCTCTTCAGGCTGGAGGAGGTGGATATCTGCTTCCCTTGGCAGTTTGGGGAGGGGAGGCTTGTCTCTTAAAGGACAGTGCACACAGTTGACAAACCAGGCCAGCAGATCATAACAGACATGGCATGGCTATAACCACAGCCCTGAAGGGAGTGGATTCCAGAAGCTTATTGCCAGCCAGTCTATCTGAATCACAGTTTCACATTTAAGGGGAAACTCTGTCACAAAACATAAGGTATGGGCTGGGGAGAACACTCAGTGATTTAGAACACTTAATACACATCTTGAGGAATAGAATTTGGAATCTAGCACCCAGGTAACAAGCCAGGTGTCTCCACCCACCTGTAACTCCACAGTTTCTTAGGGGACAGGGACAGAGAAATCACTGGAGCTTGCTGGTGTCCAGCCCTGATGAAAAAATAGGAGCCCCAATTTCAGGGGAAGACTACCTCAAAAGAATACACAGGGAGTGGTGGAGGACACCTGACATCATCTGACTGTCATATTCCTGCACAAGTATGCCCATACAACACACACACAACACACACACACTAATAAATACAAATAATTCTTTAAGAACAAGTGGAGAGCCGGGCGGTGGTGGCGCACGCCTTTAATCCCAGCACTCGGGAGGCAGAGGCAGGCGGATCTCTGTGAGTTCGAGACCAGCCTGGTCTACAGAGCTAGTTCCAGGACAGGCTCCAAAACCACAGAGAAACCCTGTCTTGAAAAAAACAAAAAAAAACAAACAAAACAAAACAAAAAAAAGAACAAGTGGAGACTGATCAAGGAAAGACACAAATACTAACACACATACAATTTAAATAAATGTTTAATCTTATTTGGAATTTTAAAATTCATTTATAATTAAAGAAAATTTTAGAATTGAATTTTGAAATTGCCTTGAAAAGACATCCTTTAGAATGTCTCTCATGCTATCATCTGAAAATCAGAGCTTTATTGTGAATCACTCTCATCTAAAAACCACCCCAGACTTAAAACTCACTGAACTGTAAAGTATATAGCACTTGCTGGCAACAGCTATAATTGCAGCTATTCAGATGGCGAAGCAGAAGGATAGAATTATAGACTAGCCTGTGTACATAGCAAGACCTTATCTCAGAAAAAGAGAAAAAAAGAAAAAAGTTTAATTTAGTGTTGAGTGTCCTTGTAATATTTTAATTTATGAGAGCATAGGTGCCACACTTATGCCGTATGGGGTAGAGAACAATTTTGGGGAGTTGGTTCTGGGACTCTTGTTTGTGTTGCAGTGTTTGCTTCAATAGCTAGCCCATGGGTTTCTGGATGATTTCCCCTTCTTCACCTCCCATCTCACTATAGCAGTTCTGAGATTACAGATGGGTTCTAGAGATTAACTCAGAATTTCAAGCTTGCATGGCAAGTGCTTCTACCTGCTGAGCATCTCTCCAAACCTATCTTTGTAATTTTTAAATTTTTAAAAATTTATAGCCGGGCAATGGTAGCGCACGCCTTTAATCCCAGCACTCAGGAGGCAAAGGCAAGTGAATCTCTGTGAGTTCAAGGCCAGCCTGGTCTACAGAGCAAGTTCCAGGAGAGCCAAGGCTAAGCAGAGAAATCCTGTCTCAAAAGAAAAAAAAAGTGTATGTATATACACACACCACATATACAGTATTTAGACCTTTGCCTGCATTGTATCTGTGTACCATTTGTGTGCCTGTTGTCATGGTGGTCAGGAGAGGGTATCAGATCACCTTGGATTTGGGGTTCCAAGTGTTTATGAGCCACCATGTGGGTGCTAGAAATTGAAGCCCTGTCCTCTGCAAGAGCAGTCAATGTTTGTAACTGCTGAGCCATCTCTCCATTTAACGGTAGTATATCCTACCGTTATACTCCTGATGCCTATTTTGTCATGTCTTTGTTTTACACATATTGATTCAGGATTCAGGTTTTGGTTTAGTTTGGTTTTATTTTTCTGGATAAAGCACAGCAACCTTTGTAGCCCACTTATGTGGATGCTATAATAAATGCAGACATATCTGCATATAATATTTAGTTTGATTTGTATTTATTTTCTAACAGCTCTCTAAAATTTAAAAACACTGGTTTTCTTTGATCATTCCAACGTTCATAAGTATGGGAAAACCTTTTATATACAATACATTTAAGTCCTTAATGTAAAATGTTATAAAACACCTTACCTTTGCAGCGAGAACACACAGACACCTTACGCCATCTGAACGTGATGCTAATGTTTACTGAATGCGTGCTGGACCTAACAGCAGTGAGGGGTGGGAACCCTGAGCTGTGCACATCTGCTGTGTCCTTGTACCAGATTCAGGAGAGTGTAGTCGTGGACCAGATCAGCCAGCTAAGCAAAGATTGGGGGTAGGTGCCTCCTGTCATTCATTTCCAGTTTATTTACACTTTCTGTAAATGTGTATTTAAATGTAAGCATTGTTATGTATTTTAAAAAATCATGTCTCATTTTTAAAAGCTGAAAGGAAATCTAAGTTGTTTAATTGTGTGAGATGTTACAAAAATTTATTATGTGACCTTAATATCACCTTTCTCTGAAAATTTACAACTGAAGATACTTGATGACCAAGGATGTTGTAATAAGAGCGGCAGGACTGCGTCCCCGGCACCCGGCCACCCACATGGCTAGCTCTAGCTTATGCCCCGAAATAATTACACGGAAACTGTATTCTTTTAAACACTGCTTGGCCCCTTAGTTTCAGCCTCTTAACCCATTTCTATTAATCTATGTAGCACCACGAGGTGCGCTTACCAGGGAGATTCTAGCCTACGGCTGTCTGGAGTGGGAGAATCATGGTGACTCCTTGACTCAGCTTCTTTCTCCCAGCATTCTGTTCTGTTTACCTATGTTTTACCTATGTTTACCCACCTATGTTTTAACCTATGAGGGCCAAGCAGTTTCTTTATTGCTTAACCAATGAAATCAACAGATTGATATATGACACTCCCACATCACTTCCCCTTTTTCTGTTTAAACAAAAAAAAGGAAGGCTTTAGCTTTAACGTAGCAAAATTACATATAGCAAAGCAGTTATCAAGCAAGAATTACAGTTATATATATTATATATATATATATATTTATATATATTTTATCTTTTATCATAACTAAGGAAAACTATAACTATCTATTCATTCTTCAACTCCATCAAAGACTCCAGAAGGATATAATACTACCTAAGTAAACAAGAAATAAGAAAACTCTAGAAATGACAGAGACATCTCACTGCCTGGACATTCACCCAAAGTTTTTTTGTACCGTTGGGGCATCCATCTTCAGCCTTCAGGCCCATAGTAACCAGCAGACATTTTCATCAAGCAGGAAATTCCAAAGACAGTTCAGTCACTTTCTGCTGTGTCCTGCAGAATGTCTCGCAGACTCTTTCATGAGTCAGGAACCCCAAAAGACCATCTCACCTTTAGGCAAGTTCAGCAGTCCTCTCTTTGCAGGTTCTCTTTGTCCAGTTTATGCAACAGTCCAGGCAAGAACAGTTTCTTGCCCAAATGGCTATCAAACTCCATAAGGAGCCTCTTCAATGCCCATCTTCCTCTTGAAGTAGATTGGTGCAGCCAGGAGCAGACGTGTCTCATTGTCATGAAAAGTCCTAAGTTATTAAAATATTTTAAATGCCATATTCTGCAGCCTTTGAGAGATATGAAGAATGCCTATCTGAAATATATCTCTATATATCTAGAAAATCTAAGTAACATGACTACAAACTTGACTTTATTTATGATTATTCATCAACAACCTATATTTCCTAATTATACATTACATTTTTAAATGAACTACACAATCACAATACCTTAATCAAGATCAGAAATACATATACATATAACAAAATTGACCTTAAAATCCATACCAATGCAAATTATTCATACCTATATCATTTCCCCCTTTAAATGTAAAAGAACATTTATAAACAATATTTTGGGAACATGGGCGCAGTTTTTTCTGTCCAAACTGCTTTCTGCTGAATGGGGGCGTAGTTAATTAGGTCTTTCATGGTATAACCTGTGTGCCAGGGTCATCTCAGTTGGCAGTTGAGTGAAGTAATTTTTTGAGGGTGTTCACATCAACCTTTTAGGAGGGCGTGGTCTATCATACCAAACTGGGATAGAAGAAATCCATAGAGTCTCATCCTCTGTGAAAACAAAAGAAGACTCTCTCCAAAGCATCATATCCTTAGACCCAAATTCTGAAGTCATACCCTCATGATATCCGTTCTGGTTACACTTGGCAGTCCATATAATGAAATGTCTCTCTGTACTTAGCTCCTTCACAGTCAAAAATTTTAAAGAAAACACAATGTACATAATCCAGACTCTCTGTGAATTTTCCATTTTTACGTGGCTTATTTTTCTTTATTTCTTTTAATCTCTTAACTATCTGTACTCTGTCTCTTTAAAGACTTTACCTTTTTTTTTTAAGACATTAACTTTATTCTTTATATTCCTTTTCTTTTCTCTCCCAAGCCTACGTACATTCATCCAACACTGTGACTCATTTAGTGGTCTGAATCTGTCCTATTGTGAATCTGCAATTTTTTTTTTTTTTTTTTTTTTACTATCCAGGAGCACTTTGTTTTGTGCCTTTAAATCACTAAGCGCTTAAGAATCTAAGCTGTGACATTCCTAGGTCAAAAACAGGTACTGCCAGCTTGCCCGCCCAATCCAACATGGCTGAGCCGCTCGTGCCTCTGAGCCGCAGCAGGCAATGACTTTCTTTAAGGCACACAGCGAGTCTAGTTGTCATCAAACAAATCGTAGCACTTTACTCCAAATGCTCCATTCAAAAGCTCTGTCTCCCACAGGAGCTGGACAGAGATCGCAATGGCGGCACAGTCCAGAAAGCTGGCATTTTAAAACAGCCAGTTTTTTTCCTGCTGCTGAGTCAGGAAAATTTCAAAATGGAGGACGTACCATTTTGTGCTAGCTCTGGGGCCGCCAGGTAGGAGCGGCACTCAGCACTTTAATTCTGAGACTGAACGTGCAGCACAGAAATTCTTTTCATCCAAGTTACATCCAAATCTGACACGCACTCTGCGCAGTACTGACGGCAGGAATCCACCATGCTCTTCGGCCTGCCTAAGCCTGATTCTGCAGTCTGCCCAGGTGCAGGCGGGGAGTGCTGAGCCATTGGCACGGTCTCAGAGCAGTCTCCTTCCGATCCCAAGCAGGAACAGAAACATCCAGTCCCATAAAATCCACTGAAATGCTTTAAAGCCAGAGTTCACGCTGGCAGCACAGCCCCAAGAAGCTGTGCTTTAAAATGACACAGCGTTTTTTTCTGCTGCTGATGCCGAATCAGGAAATCTCTCTACAGCACGCCACCAACAAACAGCAAAAATCTGTGTTAAACTCTCTCTCCCTTATTTTTAAGCCTTCTCAGGTTTTTAAGTGGATTTAGTCCATCACATAGGGCGCCACTCTGTTGTAATAATTGGAGCCGCGGGGCTGCGTCCCTGGCACCCCCTCCGCCTGCGCCTGCACGGCTAGCTTTAGCTTATGCCTGAAATAATTACACGGAAACTGTATTCTTTTAAACACTGCTTGGCCCCTTAGTTTCAGCCTCTTAACCCATTTCTATTAATCTATGTAGCACCACGAGGTGCGCTTACCAGGGAGATTCTAGCCTACGGCTGTCTGGAGTGGGAGAATCATGGTGGCTCCTTGACTCAGCTTCTTTCTCCCAGCATTCTGTTCTGTTTACTCCACCCACCTATGTTTTTACCTATGAGGGCCAAGCAGTTTCTTTATTGCTTAACCAATGAAATCAACAGATTGATATATGACACTCCCACACAAGGAGGTCATACGGATTTTTGTTTCAGTGTTCCTGTAATATTCCAAGCTCACATATCTTTCTCCTTACTAATTCTTCTCCATTTAGGAGTTAAATGTATATTTAAAAGTCAAGACGGGAGCTGGAGAGATGACTCAGGTTAAGAGCATTGACTACTCTTCAAGAGATCCTGAGTTCAATTCCCAGCAACCACATGGTGGCTCAAAACTGTCTGTAATGAAATCTGGTGCTCTCTTCTGGCGTTCAGGCAAACATGCTGACAGAACACTGTATACATAATATATAAAATAAATCTTTTTTTTAAAAAAAAAAGAAAGAAACCTCATAAGAGCTCTTTAAAAAAAATTAAATGAGTCAAGGTGGGGCCAGGTGTGGTATCACACATGCAGCACTTGGGATACTAAGACAGGAGGGTTAATAAATTTGACACCTGCCAGGGATACGTGGGAAAATCTTGTCTGGGGCATGCAGGGGAAAGGGTTGAGGATGAAGTCCTCTGTGGCCTGATATTTAGCATGCTGAATCTTGTGGTCAGTTCCCAGGATAATTCTCTGCTCCTGTCTTGCGGTGCAGGCGGGTGGAGCAGCTGGTGTTATACATGAAAGCAGCACAGCTGCTGGCAGCCTCCTTGCATCTCGCCAAAGCTCAGATCAAGTCCGGGAAGCTGAGCCCATCCACAGCTGTGAAACAAGGTATGGGAGCAGACCATAGTCTATGGCTCCAAGGGCCTTTGTGTCATGCCTTGTCCCAAGTCAGTCTCTGCTGATCTTTTGTTTCTAATTCTTTACTTGATACAGAAAAGTCAGAAAACCTTGATCGGTCTTTTCATTCTGAAAGATCGGAGAACCTGACTTTGTCTTTTCCTTCGGTGGCCATGTAGTAGTGTCACTTTCTTTCCAAAAGCAGGAAAGGTACATGTCACTGTTATTTCTGGAAGGATATTAAAACTAATTCCAATTTCAACTTTGTTTCAGTTGTTAAAAATCTGAATGAACGATATAAATTGTGCATCACCATGTGCAAGAAACTTACAGAAAAGCTGAATCGCTTCTTCTCTGATAAACAGAGATTTATTGATGAAATCAACAGTGTGACTGCAGAGAAACTCATCTACAATTGTGCTGTGGAAATGGTAACCTTTTCAAGGCTATTAAACACCTGTTTACAATGATCTGCCCTTTAAGAGTTTATATCCTGCCCTTTCTCAAGTCCCAAATGTTCACAACACTTGGGACTTGAGAAAGGGCAGGATATTACCTAGTGAAGTAATTAGATTTAACTGACATTTGAGTACTTAATATAGTGTAACTTTTTGCGAGACAGGGTTTCTCTGTAGCTTTGGAACCTGTCCTGGAACTAGCTCTTGTAGATCAGGCTGGCCTTGAACTTACAAAGATCTGCCTGCCTCTGCTTCCCAAGTGTAGTGTAACTTATTTAATAAAATTACTATAGTCCATAATCTCAGTTGTTACACTTGATAAGTTTTACTGTATTTTCTTTTAAACTTCATTTACATAGACATGTTCTCATCCTTTTATAGTTTTATCTAAAATTTGGATTAATGTTTAGCATTTTTCTGCTAATGAGAAATTCTGGCTCTGTAAAACTAAATAGGTGATTGAGTTTGACTGAGTGACTTTATATAGACACTAAGGAAAAGCAGCTTTCCATTTGTCTGGGTATATATTGGAGTTTTCTCTATTTACTGGGGGAAAATGACTGAGGAATATAGAACATTTAGTTATTAAGTATCTCAATTTCAAAATTTATGAACTAATGTTATTTTACCTGTTCAACATAATAGATCTTTCCCATTTAGAGAAATTACAGTTGTACTATTGCTATACTCTTAGATTTACCTTAATAGCTAAAAAATAGTTTTATGAAATAACTTTGGAATGTAAGCTGACAAGAGTATGTCCTATTGCTCTAGACTATTGATTGGAATGGCAGGTAGTATATAACACTATACTACATTAAGACAATAAGAATTTTATGCTAGGAATTATATTGCTTCTTTCCTTTCTGGATTTAACCATAACATTACAGAGTCTTTCTTCCTTTCATCAAAATATATTGATTTTAATATTTTTTAAGCTGCACTGTTCATAAGGACTTATGTACCTTTGGAGCTGCAAATCTTCTCATTTTGTTTACTGGTTCCAGGTTCAGTCTGCAGCCCTGGATGAGATGTTTCAGCAGACTGAAGACATTGTATATCGGTACCACAAGGCAGCCCTTCTTTTGGAAGGCCTAACTAAGATCCTGCAGGACCCTACTGATGTTGAAAATGTGCATAAATGTAAGTCGCGGTACAATAGTGCACAGTAGTGCTCCCTCATCTCCAGTCCAGCTTTCTACAGCTGGGCTCAAAACTATTCAATGAAAACACTCAGAAATAAAACACCATAAATGTTTTTGTTTGTTTGTGTTTTTTGAGACAGGGTTTCTCTGTATAGCCCTGGCTGTAGTGGAACTTGCTCTGTAGACCAAGGTGGCCTTGAACTCGCCTACCTCTGTCTCCTAAGTGTTGGGATTAAATGTGTTGTCACCACTGCCTGGTTCATAGTTTGTTTTTAAGTCTTTTTGTTTAGTTTTTAAATAATTGAGTATCATTATGGCATTTAAATTTTTTATTATTTTTTTCTATTTCATGTGCTTGGGTGTTTGCCTACATGTATGTGTAAGTGTACCGCACGCATGCCTGGTGCCTTTGGAGGCTAGGAAAAGGTATCAGATCCCCTGGATCTGGAGTTACAGAGAGTTGTGAGTGGTTAGTGGATCTGGGACTTGAATCCAGTCCTCTGGAAGAGCAGCAAGTGCTCTTAACCATTGAGCCTTCTTTTCAGTCTTCATTATGGGTTTTTTCAAACAAAATTTGTTTCTGTTGTTTCCCCTTGCCTCTCTTCTTCCTCATCCACATTTTGCATTGTTCTCTGAGTTGTCCTCGGCTACCTGGGACATGACCCATGCACCCCCTTGTCCAGTATATACTGTATATACTTGCTGTGTTTGTTCTCTATACCTATTGGTCACTTAGTCACAGTGGTTACGAGGTATAATGTATTGATAGTGCTATGCTTGTAGATAGAATTTGATACTATTTATAATCTCAGGCATAAATTGAGGGTCTTAGAACGTGACTTTGTGGATAAAGAAGAACACTGAATTTAACTAATTGTAGTTTGTCCTCTAAGTTGTAAGTTTGGGATCACATTCTTTTTTTTTATTATTTATTTATTATATATACATCATTCTGCCTCCATGTATGCCCGCACGCCAGAGGAGGGTGCCAGATCTCAGTACAGATGGTTGTGAACCACCATGTGGTTGCTGGGAATTGAACTCAGGACCTCCGGAAGAGCAGCCAGTACTCTTAACCGCTGAGCCATCTCTCCAGCCCTGGGATCACATTCTTGAGCTGAATCTTGGCTTTAAAACCTTATAGAAATTATTAATCTTTTTGTGGTCTCAGTATCTTTTCTCTAAAAAGTTGAGAACAGTGTTAACCTTATGCTGTAAGGATTAGAGAGGCTGCATATAAAATATAGATTATTCCAGGCATTGGTGGTTCACACTTTTAATCCCAGCACTCAGGAGGCAGAGTCAGGTGGATCTCTGTGAGTTCGAGGCCAGCCTGGTCTACAAGAGTTAGTTCCAGGACAGGCACCAAAGCTACACAGAGAAACCTTGACTTGAAAAACCAAAAATAGATAAATAAACAAACAAAATACAGATCACTTTTATTCTTCAGGTCTTTTCATTACATTATATTGTTTTCAAGTTCCTGTTTAAGAATGTAGGAAGATGTTTATTACTTAATAGAACTCTTTTAAAATTTCTAGGCTTAGAGACCAAAGAATGTTATAAAGATCTCTGTACTACAGCTTTGATAAAACTAACAGAACATAGAGTGACAGGGTACCAGTATGATACATATTTCCCTAGTATCTGGTGTATAAGGAGCAGCTGTTCTTGTGTATGTGGTCATACACAGTTTAATAAAAGAGGACAGCAGTCCCTACGTCACTTACACCTCAAAGCAAGTGAGTTGTTAGAGCTGAACCTTTTCTTAATGGTATGTTAGTCCCAATTTTACCACTGAAGCATTAAACTACAGGTCCTATCTGAATTGTTGCTGGACAGAGAGAAGAAAGTGTATTCATTCTGTTAACTCTGGGGCAAAGACAGAGCAGCGGAACATGGTGGGAGAGTTGTAATTTCCCCCTTTAGTTCCTCTGTCCTTTAGTTAGAAAACACAAATAGTTTTTTTGTTAATATAATTTTAAATTTTATTTCTAGATAAATGTAGTATTGAAAGAAGATTGGCAGCACTCTGCAGTAACTCTGGAGCTGTATGAGCAGCAGACTTGTCTGTGGACCAGCATGGGAACATGAGGTAGCATGTTTGGGATTATAGTTTGGTTCTGTCACCCACCCAAGAAACCGTGGTGACTACCAAAGAACAAGCAGCAACTTAAGAAGGAAAAACAATATAAAACTACATGTTTGTAGAAAACCTGCCTTATTGGAGAAGTCACTCCCCTTTTCCTTTTTCTTTATAGAAGCAGAAGCAAAAGAGTATCCACACATTGAACCTGGCAAATAAATGTACCTTAGAACTAGAATCATAAGTACAATTATTCTTGTGGATAATTAAACAGGAAAGAAAGTGAGTGACACTTTACTCAACTCTGAGTAATATATGAAATTCCATGCTTTGTTAAGGCATATACAAGCAAAGAGTCTACAGCTCATCCAGACAGTTTGAGATTTGGGGTAAGTTTGTCTGAATCTGAGCGTGCATCTTTAAACAGCTCAGAAGGAAGTGTTTTAAGAAGAAGCAAAAGGTGACTCTTGGATGAATTGTGACATCTTCAAGTTGATCTAATGTGGACATAAGTTAATCTTCCAAAATCTTTCATATTGCACTAATTTATTAAAATAACTGTGTATTGAATTTTGCAATTTAAAACTAACTGAGGCACAATGGACTTGTTTAGAATATTTTACTTGATTCCATACATAGGCTCTTTTCAGAATTCATGTGTATACTCCATTGAAGTTTTAAATGGTCAAAACTTGCATTCATGTGAACCTTTGCATTTTTCTCACCTGTAATCTTCACCAACAGATCTTCTCAGTGGTATTTTGAGTTGCTGGTTGTTGCATTTTTTTGTTGTGCATGCAGAATGTGCATTGATACCTGTGACCATAGGTTTATTAAAGGCTAAGTTTATTTGCACAGTATTAGAAAGCTATCATGAATCAAGAGATACTCTTGAGAATTTTAATAGGGCCAAATCAAAGTGATGAATAAAGGCTTGTTAGTGATGTGGAGTTTCTACATGGAAATTAGTAGGAAGTGAGGTTTGTTTTCCTTAGAAAACTGGGCAGCTCTCTCCAGACTAATGTGCACTTTTCAGTGTTAGTCCTGACAGTTCACCAAATAGCTAGTCACAGTGAATTAACATCTCTCAAAGAACGGTTCCTGTGTTGTATATTGTTTGGTTTCTTTTACTTACCTGCTTGAATACTTGAATAAAGCATTCACCCGTCTTAACCCTTTCATTCAACCCTTCACATAATGACCTGCACTCTGATAGCTGCGCAGAAGCTCTTGGGCATCGCACTTAACAGAGACAGTGTGGTTTCCATTTACTTGGTGGACAAAGTAATGTAATTTTTACATTATTTATCTGTGTGAAATTCTAGAAGTTAATTTGAACATTTATTTATAAGATGTTTGTATTTTTAGGTCTTTACTACAGTGTTTCTACCTCTCATTTGTAACTGCATGCATTATTCTCCAAACTAGGTAAAACTCACTGAATCATTGTGTAATAGCCTTTTTTAAATTGCTTGTACAAATGTATATTAAGGATAAATAAAACTGACAGTGTTTTTAGGTTATAGTTGGGTTGATATTAAGTGGCTTGTCAAGCCAAATGCTTCTTTAGTGAGTAGGTTGGAAACTTGGTCATTAATGGCCTTTGTCCTGCTCCAGGATTTAAGACTCTTGGTGGCTGACATGCAGGCTCCTGAAAACAGACTATACCCCCTCCTTATATTAGTGATAACTGTTTGAGATAATTTTTTTAGATTTTACACTGAATTCTTTCATGTTCTCTTAATTACCATGTTATCTCAGTTGATTTTCCAAGTGAGTAGATTTAGTTGGCCTCTTATGCCACTTTTCAAAACCACAATATGAAAAGATTGAGAGAGGGTAAAGTTGGTGTGAAGTAAGGAACTGCAAATGTTGAAACTGCACTGTAACTCAAGCTCTTCTCACGTCAGAGGTCTTATAGGTGCTGTGTATAAAGCAGCAGAGTCTCACAGTGGAGAACAAACTGTAAACTCACGAGTAATGGTTTTGATTATACTACCATTATCAAGGCTAATTGTTTAAAAAGATTTTTGCCTTGATTATAGCAATAATAAATAAATGTTTTATGTTTCTGTATTTTTATTTCATATCTGAATTTCATAAAATGGAAATAGACAAGTTCACACATTCGTGGGTCCGCACCAGTATTCAAGTCATAACCTGGAGAATTACTTAGCATGCAGATATACGTAGAAGAATTATCAGGGAACCTGCTGATTGGCCTTTCTTGCTACGTGAATTTTCTTTAACTGTCATCTATTGAAGACCTGTTCTTGACATAATGATTTCCTGCAGCCCCCATGTGCTCTTTCTTCTGCTAGAAGAGAGTGCTGGCTTCACAAATGAGGTATAGGAGCTTGTGAAGAAGCTCTTGTTAGTTGACACTTCACTGTCTAGGGATGGAAAGGAGAAAGTTGAGTTGAATGAAGAAGAGATGAGGGCATAGAACAGGTCCCTCAGAATGATGCATCTGACATGTCTAGGTCCCTATACCTCCCTCTGCATGGAGCAGGTGCTTGGTGTCTACTTCCTGAAGCACTTCAGGTCAGACAGGATGGCATCCCTCCTTCCAACTCATCCCTTTGCTGCTTCCTCCTCTACCCAGCTGGTCCTATGAAGTAGCATCTCTTTCTTGGGGCTATTGTGCTTAAAACTGCTGATACCCAGTTTCATTATTTTGTTTGAGAACATTCAATGAATGAATGAATGACTTATTTTCCATAACATAGTGCCCCTCCCCCCAGTTCTCACAAGAGATGCTGTTCTACAGTCCAGCATAAGAACCAGGAAGTACTGTGGTTATGGATGCCCTGTCTCAGTCTCTAAGAACAAGAGGAACCTGAATTGGGGCAAATTAGGCAGGAGCGTTTGGACTCAAATATTAAAAAACCCTGAGGAGGAGCACAAACTTCACTTTTAATTGCCCTTCCTAATTGGTATTTCTGTAGGACAGTAACTTGGCAGGGAGCCATTACTGCCCAGTCTCTCATACTGACCCAGCTCTAGATGGCATTTGGCTTTGTGGGTTCTGAATCATTGAATCAGCAGCTGTGCAGACTACTAAGTCCTTCCCAAGTCCCTTTCATGCTTTACAAAGACCTGGTGAGAACATTATCTTTGAATGAAGAATCAAAAGGTCAAGGCAGCATTTTTGTCAAATAAATCAGGAAATTGGACCCGAAATGATGGCCCTAAAAATACAGTGCAGCCGGGTGTGTGGTGCCCACCTTTAATCCCAGCAATGGGGAGGCAGATGCAGGTGGATCTCTGTGCATTTGAGACCAGCCTGGTCTACAGGATGAGTTCCAGGACAGCCAAAGCTACATGGTAGAGAGAACCTATCTCAAAAATAAAAAATAAATTTATAAAGCAGTGCCTATAGGAGATGTATGATAATCCATGATTAAAATGACAGCATTTGCACACGAGATGAAACCAAACTGGCAAAGGATCAAGAGGAAAAAGCAACAAGACTCTGACCTCGCTGCCAGGGTGACCACACAGCACTCGGTCAGACTGCACAGGAGACCAGGCCACAGAGAGCTGCTATGGTGCTGAAGGAGAATAGTGTGGGGAGCAAGTGGAATTACCTGTAGGCGTTTTGTGGGTTGGTTTTGTTTGTTGTTCTTAAGGTTTATCCCTACAAGTGTTTTGCCTGCATGTATGTATGTATGTATGTACACTGCATGTATGTCTGATGCCCCTGGAGACCAAAAGAGGTTAATGATTCTCTGGAACTGGAGGTATGGGCTGTTGTGAGCCACCATGGGAGTGCTGAGAACCAAACCTGGATGGGTCCTCTGCAAGAGCAGTATTTAACCACAACTGTCTCTCCAGCTGTGGGCTTTTCTTTGCTTTTCCTTGGTTCAATTTTAAATTTTATGAAGACCATTGTTGCTGAACAAGTATTGCTGGGCTGTCCTGGAGACTGTTGAGCAGTAGATAGCTATGTGAAGTTGCCCAGCCTCTCCAAGATGAGCTACGTGAGCACCCCTTCCAGGCCCTGCCCCATGCAGCATGCTGCATCTAAAACAGTCCTGTGCGCCCACCATGGGTAGATGTTAACTTAAACATTATCTATTGAAAACTCTATTCTGCATCTCCTCCAGGGTCTCTGCAGCTTAACTTAGGGGTCCACCTGGTCACAAACCAGCTCTGTTGTGTTCATCTGTGTGTCCTTGGGCATCTATCATAAATCTCTCAATTTGCCAAGTATGGGAAGAGTTTAACCCTTCGAGGGTTGAAGGAGGATTGACTGAAATTGCCCTGCAGTCATTTGAGCACCACCTGGCACAGGTGAGAACTCTGATAACTGTGTTGTGATTACTCAGGAGCTCTTTTATGATAGTTTATTTTGTTTTAGGACAGGGTAAAAAAATAACTTGGTTTTGTATTTGTTTGAAGCAAAGCCTAGATTTAGGGCTCAGTGAAGCCACATGCATTATGGCCAGTTAGCTGCTGGAGAGGTCTCATTATTGCAAAAAACAAGCTACCTTTCTACAACTTACCCACCAGGGCTTGGCTTTGGGCATTCTTTATGTTGTCCTTTAAGCCTTTTGACTCCTTTAATAAAAAGTGTGTATCAATCTAACATTTGTTATTTCATTTGTTCCCTAATGACCTGCAACATTTCAGAACCACAGATAGTTTGCAATCCAAAGAATGGTGCTGGCTCAAAGGTAGATATCTAAAATCAATGGGATAAAGTCCAATTTACAAAACTAGAGATGAACATTGTGGCCATTTGAGTTTGATAAGTCAAAACTCTTTGAAACAGAACACATTGCACATTAAAGAACTAGAAAAAAATTAGTTTGCCCAAATGTTATTGGGAATAATGGATATCCATATACAAAATTCAGCCAGACCCTGTCATACTGTAAATATAACCTGAAATGTTAGGGTGCATTGTAGGAAGCGCATGTGCATTGCAGTAAAGAAGAGCTCCTATAACTCCATAGAACACCAACCAAAGGAGAACTGCTTGGGGCTGGAGAGATGGTCAAGCAGTTAGGATCACTTACTGAGAGCCAGCGTTCAGATCCCAGCACCCACAGAACAAGGTGGGCATCCTATATAAGCCTGTAACTCTGGCTCTAAAAAGGGGAAAAAGATAGGATTACTAGAGCTTGCTGGCTTCCAGCCCAGCCAGGAAAATGCAAGCCTCAGGTTCATAGAGAAACCCTGCTTCAGAGGAATAAACAGAGGATACCCAGCATTCTTTTGGCCCCTATATGTGCAAACAGAAGTGGGTGCACCCCTGTATGTCATTGGCACACACTGATTTACAGCAGTTTTCATTGTTTTTTGAGACAGGGTTTCTCTGTGTAACAGCCCTGGCTCTCCTGAAACTTGCATTGTAGACCAGGCTGACTTCAAACTGCCTCCCTTCCCTTTCCCCAGAGCTGGGATTAAAGACATGCATCACCACCGCCTGGCTGATTCACATCATTTTTTAAAGTGTGTGTGTGTGTATGCACACACATATATTAATTTTTTTTGTTGTTTTTTCGAGACAGGGTTAGAGTGATAGTTCAGCAATTAAGGGCACTCTCACTGCTCTTATAGAGGGTTTGGGTTCACAATAGTCTTGTAACACCAGTTTTGGGGGTTCTGATTTCCTCTCCCAGCCTCTAGCTCAAAACAGACATCTTCAGAGGCAACTCATTGGCTATGCAGAAACCCTCAGCCAAACACATTGTGACTGGCTGGTTAATGAGGCCCCTTCTAGCTGAGAGGTGGTGAAGACCAGGGACAGCTGACCTTAATCGTCCCTGAAATCTACTGGAATAATGTGCAGTAACATTTAGCAGGTTTACAAGTCTTCAGCAACCTCCTGCCTTCACTTCCCACAGCCCTAGCCTGTGTGACTCCTTTCCCCTTTACAGAACCATCCTCAGACTTTGGCTGGGAAGCAACCCACAAGGCACAGGTGGCATGAAGTTTTTTATTGGTGGTAGTGGTGTATGTTATGATTTGGATACAAGTGTCCCCCAAAGGCTCATGTGTTGAATTTGGCCCCTAGCTGATGGTGCTGTTGGGGACAGGTGGGAAGAAGTTAGGTCATTGGGATGTAGGTACGGCCCTTCTTTCTTTCCAGCCACCATGATGTAAGTAACTTTGTTCCACCACATACTCTAGCTATGGCTGCTTCACCACAAGCCCTGAGACCATGGACTGGAATCTCTGAAACCATGAGCCAGAATACATCCTTCTTCCTTTAGGTTATCTTGTCACAGAAGCAGAAAGCTGACTAGCCACGGTGAGCCAACACACTGGGACTTATTTGATAGTGCAGCTGAACTCAGCCCATCCTGTTTATTGTCTTCCACAGTACTGGCTGTTGAGGCAGCCCAGACCTGAATGGAGGCCTCCTTTCAGTCTGCATTGACCCCAGCAGCTTCTCCATATGGAAATCCCTCTTCAGGCCCGCATTTCTGGCAAAGTGCTTTTGGCACTAGGCTCAGGCTCAGATTTATGACTGTTTAAAAAGGCCTCTTAACCACTGAGCCATCTCTCCAGCCCCGGCCTCACTGATTTTTATTGGGGGGGGGGGGGGGAGCCTTACTCATGCTAAGCCAGCAGCCTAACCTGGGTTATATCCCCAGGCTGTAAATACTATATATAAATTCACTTATTTTGAGACCTCATAATTTTTAATTAATTCTTTACCTTTTATAAAAGCTGTAGAATCAAAAATCAGAAATGTTGGGCTGGAGAGATGGCTCAGCAGTTAAAAGCACTGACTGTTCTTCCAGAGGTCCTGAGTTCAATTCCCAGCACCCACATGGTGGCTCACCACCACCTGTAATGAGGTCTGGCGCCCTCTTCTGGCCTGCAGGCATCCATGCAGACAGAACATTGTATACAGAAATGTTGCATTAATTACCCACAAAATGTAATGTTATAGTCAGTCTACTGAACATTTTTGAAGGTTTCAGGGCAGCAGAAACATGGGCTTTCTCACTGTAAGAAACCCCACAGTGGATGGCAAGCTGAGTGAGTCATTTATGGGCAAACTCAGAAGAGAAACCACCTGCACAGCAGAGGGCTAGCTATTCTGCAGATGTGGTCAC